ATCTGTCCGATGTAGGAGCGGAAACGTGTTCTAGGGACCCTGAGGTATCTTCCTAGCAAGTTTCAAGAAATTCCATTTTTTGGCCAAAATTGAAAAAAATGTAAGGGGTTAGCCTTACTTTTTTTTCGATTTTGGCCAAAAAAATGAATTTTCTCCAAATTACTCAGAAATGCTTAAGGATGCTTTGGGAGCATGATTTAATATTCAGACCGGCAAAATTCGCTAAATTTTGACCAAAATTGTGACATTCTTGGGTAAAATTTCATATATTTGACCTATTTTACCTCAAATTGTGGACGTAATATTTCCTTTTTAAAGGCCTATCTGTCCGATGTAGGAGTGGAAACGTGTTCTAGGGACCCTAAGGTATCTTCCTAGCAAGTTTCAAGAAATTTCATTTTTTGGCCAAAATTGAAAAAAATGTAAGGGGTTAGCCTTACTTTTTTTTCGATTTTGGCCAAAAAAGGGACCTAGGGACCCTAAGGTATCTTCCTAGCAAGTTTCAAGAAATTTCATTTTTTGGCCAAAATTGAAAAAAATGTAAGGGGTTAGCCTTACTTTTTTTTCGATTTTGGCCAAAAAATGAATTTTCTCCAAATTACTCAGAAATGCTTAAGGATGCTTTGGGAGCATGATTTAATATTCAGACCGGCAAAATTCGCTAACTTTTGGCCAAAATTGTGACATTCTTGGGTAAAATTCCATATATTTGACCTATTTTACCTCAAATTGTGGACGTAATATTTCCTTTTTAAAGGCCTATCTGTCCGATGTAGGAGTGGAAACGTGTTCTAGGGACCCTGAGGTATCTTCCTAGCAAGTTTCAAGAAATTTCATTTTTTGGCCAAAATTGAAAAAAATGTAAGGGGTTAGCCTTACTTTTTTTTCGATTTTGGCCAAAAAATGAATTTTCTCCAAATTACTCAGAAATGCTTAAGGATGCTTTGGGAGCATGATTTAATATTCAGACCGGCAAAATTCGCTAACTTTTGGCCAAAATTGTGACATTATTGGGTAAAATTTCATATACATGTATTTGACCTATTTTACCTCAAATTGTGGACGTAATATTTCCTTTTTAAAGGCCTATCTGTCCGATGTAGGAGTGGAAACGTGTTCTAGGGACCCTGAGGTGTCTTCCTAGCAAGTTTCAAGAAATTTCATTTTTTGGCCAAAATTGAAAAAAATGTAAGGGGTTAGCCTTACTTTTTTTCGATTTTGGCCAAAAAATGAATTTTCTCCAAATTACTCAGAAATGCTTAAGGATGCTTTGGGAGCATGATTTAATATTCAGACCGGCAAAAGTGACTAAATTTTGGCCAAAATTGTGACATTATTGGGTAAAATTTCATATACATGTATTTGACCTATTTTACCTCAAATTGTGGACGTAATATTTCCTTTTTAAAGGCCTATCTGTCCGATGTAGGAGTGGAAACGTGTTCTAGGGACCCTGAGGTATCTTCCTAGCAAGTTTCAAGAAATTCCATTTTTGGCCAAAATTGAAAAAAATGTAAGGGGTTAGCCTTACTTTTTTTTCGATTTTGGCCAAAAAAATGAATTTTCTCCAAATTACTCAGAAATGCTTAAGGATGCTTTGGGAGCATGATTTAATATTCAGACCGGCAAAATTCGCTAAATTTTGACCAAAATTGTGACATTCTTGGGTAAAATTTCATATATTTGACCTATTTTACCTCAAATTGTGGACGTAATATTTCCTTTTTAAAGGCCTATCTGTCCGATGTAGGAGTGGAAACGTGTTCTAGGGACCCTGAGGTATCTTCCTAGCAAGTTTCAAGAAATTTCATTTTTTGGCCAAAATTGAAAAAAATGTAAGGGGTTAGCCTTACTTTTTTTTCGATTTTGGCCAAAAAATGAATTTTCTCCAAATTACTCAGAAATGCTTAAGGATGCTTTGGGAGCATGATTTAATATTCAGACCGGCAAAATTCGCTAACTTTTGGCCAAAATTGTGACATTCTTGGGTAAAATTTCATATTATTTGACCTATTTTACCTCAAATTGTGGACGTAATATTTCCTTTTTAAAGGCCTATCTGTCCGATGTAGGAGTGGAAACGTGTTCTAGGGACCCTGAGGTATCTTCCTAGCAAGTTTCAAGAAATTCCATTTTTTGGCCAAAATTGAAAAAAATGTAAGGGGTTAGCCTTACTTTTTTTTCGATTTTGGCCAAAAAATGAATTTTCTCCAAATTACTCAGAAATGCTTAAGGATGCTTTGGGAGCATGATTTAATATTCAGACCGGCAAAATTCGCTAACTTTTGGCCAAAATTGTGACATTATTGGGTAAAATTTCATATACATGTATTTGACCTATTTTACCTCAAATTGTGGACGTAATATTTCCTTTTTAAAGGCCTATCTGTCCGATGTAGGAGTGGAAACGTGTTCTAGGGACCCTGAGGTATCTTCCTAGCAAGTTTCAAGAAATTCCATTTTTTGGCCAAAATTAAAAAAATGTAAGGGGTTAGCCTTACTTTTTTTCGATTTTGGCCAAAAAAATGAATTTTCTCCAAATTACTCAGAAATGCTTAAGGATGCTTTGGGAGCATGATTTAATATTCAGACCGGCAAAATTCGCTAAATTTTGACCAAAATTGTGACATTCTTGGGTAAAATTTCATATATTTGACCTATTTTACCTCAAATTGTGGACGTAATATTTCCTTTTTAAAGGCCTATCTGTCCGATGTAGGAGTGGAAACGTGTTCTAGGGACCCTAAGGTATCTTCCTAGCAAGTTTCAAGAAATTTCATTTTTTGGCCAAAATTGAAAAAAATGTAAGGGGTTAGCCTTACTTTTTTTTCGATTTTGGCCAAAAAATGAATTTTCTCCAAATTACTCAGCAATGCTTAAGGATGCTTTGGGAGCATGATTTAATATTCAGACCGGCAAAATTCGCTAACTTTTGGCCAAAATTGTGACATTCTTGGGTAAAATTCCATATATTTGACCTATTTTACCTCAAATTGTGGACGTAATATTTCCTTTTTAAAGGCCTATCTGTCCGATGTAGGAGTGGAAACGTGTTCTAGGGACCCTGAGGTATCTTCCTAGCAAGTTTCAAGAAATTTCATTTTTTGGCCAAAATTGAAAAAAATGTAAGGGGTTAGCCTTACTTTTTTTTCGATTTTGGCCAAAAAATGAATTTTCTCCAAATTACTCAGAAATGCTTAAGGATGCTTTGGGAGCATGATTTAATATTCAGACCGGCAAAATTCGCTAACTTTTGGCCAAAATTGTGACATTATTGGGTAAAATTTCATATACATGTATTTGACCTATTTTACCTCAAATTGTGGACGTAATATTTCCTTTTTAAAGGTTTATCTGTCCGATGTAGGAGTGGAAACGTGTTCTAGGGACCCTGAGGTGTCTTCCTAGCAAGTTTCAAGAAATTTCATTTTTTGGCCAAAATTGAAAAAAATGTAAGGGGTTAGCCTTACTTTTTTTTCGATTTTGGCCAAAAAATGAATTTTCTCCAAATTACTCAGAAATGCTTAAGGATGCTTTGGGAGCATGATTTAATATTCAGACCGGCAAAATTGACTAAATTTTGGCCAAAATTGTGACATTATTGGGTAAAATTTCATATACATGTATTTGACCTATTTTACCTCAAATTGTGGACGTAATATTTCCTTTTTAAAGGCCTATCTGTCCGATGTAGGAGTGGAAACGTGTTCTAGGGACCCTGAGGTATCTTCCTAGCAAGTTTCAAGAAATTTCATTTTTTGGCCCAAATTGAAAAAAATGTAAGGGGTTAGCCTTACTTTTTTTTCGATTTTGGCCAAAAAATGAATTTTCTCCAAATTACTCAGAAATGCTTAAGGATGCTTTGGGAGCATGATTTAATATTCAGATCGGCAAAATTCGCTAACTTTTGGCCAAAATTGTGACATTATTGGGTAAAATTTCATATACATGTATTTGACCTATTTTACCTCAAATTGTGGACGTAATATTTCCTTTTTAAAGGCCTATCTGTCCGATGTAGGAGTGGAAACGTGTTCTAGGGACCCTGAGGTATCTTCCTAGCAAGTTTCAAGAAATTCCATTTTTTGGCCAAAATTAAAAAAATGTAAGGGGTTAGCCTTACTTTTTTTTCGATTTTGGCCAAAAAAATGAATTTTCTCCAAATTACTCAGAAATGCTTAAGGATGCTTTGGGAGCATGATTTAATATTCAGACCGGCAAAATTCGCTAAATTTTGACCAAAATTGTGACATTCTTGGGTAAAATTTCATATATTTGACCTATTTTACCTCAAATTGTGGACGTAATATTTCCTTTTTAAAGGCCTATCTGTCCGATGTAGGAGTGGAAACGTGTTCTAGGGACCCTGAGGTATCTTCCTAGCAAGTTTCAAGAAATTTCATTTTTTGGCCAAAATTGAAAAAAATATAAGGGGTTAGCCTTACATTTTTACCCAAATTTGGCCAAAAATTGACTTTTCTCCAAATAACGTACAAATTCCTTTGGATGCAAGAGGAGCATCAATCAATACTCAAACACCCAATATTTGGAAGATTTGGGCAGAAATCATTGATATATTGAGAACAAAATAATATATTTTACAAAATTTTCCCCAAATTTTGGGCGTCATTTTTCTTTAAAATGGCACATATGTCCCCAAATCGAGTGGGAATGTGCTCTAGGGTCCTTTAGGCATCTTCCCCGCAAGTTTCAAGGATTTTCAATTTTTGGCCAAATTTGACAAAATTGCAAGGGGTTAGCCTTACATTTTTACCCAAATTTGGACAAATATTGACTTTTCTCCTAATACGGCACAAATTTCTTTTAGATGCAAGAGGAGCATCAATCAATACTCAAACACTTAAATTTTGGAAGATTTGGGCACAAATCATTATATAACATAATATATTTGCTGTATTTCCCCACCTCCCCCCCCCCCCATGCCATATTTTTACATTGATGATATGATGCAAATAAAGGAAGCAAACTAGATACAACCATTGTTTTTGCTCTTTCACAGATATTTATTGAAAATCGCTAATTATTTATCTATTGCAGTTTCTTATAAATAAACTGTTGTCAAATATATATAAATATCTCAGTTTGGAAATTTCTTAAAAATCAAAAAATAATTGTAATTCAGGGCAACACTCGTTTACTCCTGAGGCAATTGCTCCGTTGACAACATTGCCGAGAACCAGTCATAAAAGTACAATGCATGATTACATGATATTTTCACTGGTAACCTGTTTTCACTGAAATTCAAAGATGTCTGACAAAAGCTATTTCCTCTTTGTTTGGAAAAATCCAGTGTATTACACAAATTGATGCAAAGTTAACATTCACAAAAAGTATTTGTACAATTTGTTCAAACCACCGAATACTATTTCGACCCGTTTCGATAAAGTACAACATAATATTGGCACTCAATTTTTTAATGGCATGTAACCCTGCTTATAGAATTTGGCCTTAAGTGTCAATGATACGAAGTTGAATAATTTCTTCTTGAAAATAATCCAGTACATGCTTTATCTTAAGTCATTATAAAAATGAGTCATTCATGCTCTTCTTTGTTACATTATCTCTGATTGGTCACTTCCTAGTGGTACACCTCACTTTGGACCAATGAGAAAAGTTGAGTGAGAAAAAAAAGGACCCAGACATGTCAAATCTCTATTCAACAGCTCATCTGATTGGCTTAATTTTCTAAGTTACCCAACTGTTGGCCAATAAGGGAAAGCATAATGAATATGGTTGGATAACTCAGATTCCCATCCCTCCATAACGGCTCATGTGATTGGATAAGCTCTAAAAGTTACCAATTGTGGGCCAATAGGGAAAGGTTTACGGAATACAGTTTGGTAACTCAGATTCTCCTTCCTAAGCAAGAGCTGCTGTGATTGGTTGGATCCTGAAGGTCACCTCACTCTGGACAAATTAAGAGGGTCGGCAATAATGTTTTCGTGGATGTCGATAAACAAGGGAATATACGTCAGGAAATCTAAGAAATCCACTGTTCCCTTGCCCTCGCGGTTGAATTTGTCCACAACCTACAAAAAAAAATTAATTTTGAAAAAGAAATTCACAATGTTTATGAAAGTGTCTGCTAAGGTCTTTAAAATTTTGAAAATTAAAATCAAGTTTTTCTTACAAGTTGGACGTGTTCCGGTTTGAGACCGCCTGCTTCTAACTCGACAACCAGATTGCGAATGGGCACTTCACCTCCGTCTGTTTCGTCATCTTCATCCGCCAGAAGGAAAAATAGTTCCTGTAATCGGTGAAACAAATAATCAGCAATTAATGAGCACACTTGATGAACTGGCAGGACTGATATAAGCTGAGGTTTTATATTACCCTGAGGTTTATGAGTGTTGAAGAAATCAGATCTTTGCAGCCCACAAGATTTCTGAAAAATTTAGTCACAAAATGTCGGGGAGTTTAAGTAGGAGTACCTCTGTGAGCCAGGTTCGAGTCCCACCAAGGTTGACATCTGGATTGAGATTTCAGCCACTGGTTCCAAGGGGCTATATATATGTTCATTGAACAAACAGACCTCTAGTTTTTCTTCTTTTTGTTCTACCCCAGATCCCATAGACTTTGTACAGGCTTCTTTCTGACCGGCACTATTTGACATAAAACAAAGTCATATCCCATTGAAACTTCTTCAGAATTTGGAGAAACAGTGCCTTGTGTGCATTTTCAAAGAATCCTTAGTTTCACTATGATTTCATTCGAAGACTTATATTTGATTAACTAAAAGACCAAACAAAGAGAAAAGATTGTTTACCTTCGCTTGTTGCATCTTCACTTCTAAAGCCTCGAAGTTCATCTTATTGATCAACTTCCGAATAAACGGCCTAAAAGATATAGAGAAAAAATTTCAACAACCCAAATTACACGAACTCACTCGTTTGTTTTTATCTCAAGAATATGCACAAAAGGAACCCAAATTAAGTCGCTTTCTCTGTGCAAAAGATGTTTTTGTTCAATTCATTTTCAACGAAGAAAGTGCTGTTTTTCCTGGGTATTTTTTAACTCTATGAAAAAAATTGGGGGTCGCTTTTGTGCCTCTAATGCACAAAAGAGCTGCTTGGTTTTTTTTTTTAATAAGATGGAATTTGTTACGGGTAGATGTAAATTTAAAATAGTTCAAACTTTGTATATATATTCCATGACAAAGATGTTGGTACTTTTGTTGTTCTCGTTCAAAAGTAAATACCGGTTTAACTTTTGTATTTCTTGAAAAAATAACAATAAAAACAAATATTGGTTTTGGGGTTTTTTAAAACTCAAAAGTTTCACAGGGAGAGGGCAACTTTTATTAGGAAGTATTGGGAGGACTTACTCTAGCCTGGAGACCTTTTCAGATAGCGCAGCGACTACAGCAAACAGCTTGAAGTCTATCCGGTGTCTCTGCGGCAAGTCCAACACCTGTATGAAACGGTTTGATTTGCAGGCTATCATTTAATAAGGGAATAAATGTGTGCTCCGGAGGTTTTTATCACTCTGTTTAATACCACTTAGAGTCTGGGTGCTGATAATTACCCGAGCCGGAGGCGAGGGTAATTATCAGCACCCAGACTCTAAGTGGTATTAAACAGAGTGATAAATACCGACGGAGTACATATTTATTCCCATTCATAAATACCTTTTCAGTAAAAAAAACCCATATAATTCATTCAAAACATCCCGATTTTGTTCAACAAATTCACTTTATGCTTTTTGAAACATCCCTCCTGCAAAATAATGGAGTGTTCAGCTGGCGAGTAAGATGAAAACAACCCTTTTATGGAGATTGACGCGCGCGTATCATGTTCTACGCGATGTCGCGCAGAACGCACCTGGCGCGTTGCGTTTTGAATTTAGAACTATAAAATTCTAACTCCCTGGTAGTGTTGCGCATGCCTACGTGAGGATTGTGGACGTTCAACCAATGAAACGATAAGAGGCACTGGATTTTTAGGAGTCCATATTTTATTGTGACACTGGAAAAGTGTTTAAGACCAGCTAGCCATGTCTTTATCATCCGTTTAATACCGGCCACGTGACGGGCTCTCGACCAATAGGAATGGCTAAACTGTCTGAGGTATTTATGAATTCAAAATCACAATAAAGTTTCCTGCCACAGTGCAAAGCGCCTGTTTCAAAAATCTCCAGAAACTTTCAAACTCAGTTTTCAACATGTAACTGTCCCCATTAAAAAAATTGAGGGTCTGAAGAATGACCAAAAATTGATGAAGGAAATAAATGTGTGATTGGATATTAAACACTCTGTTTCAGACTGGTTGGAGTCTGAATGCTTCGGCTTGGTAATATCAGCATCCAGACTCTAACCAGTCTTAAACATAGTGTTTAATACCGACCAAGCACTGTATTCCCATTCATTAATAACTTTTCAGTCCAAGAAAATCAAACATTTTCGGTCCACAAGAGTCAAAAATTATACATTTCCAATGATTTCGTTCAACAAAACACCCCTCTAGCTACATAATGGTTAGGCCCTTTGGTAAACAACTCCTTATATGGAGATTGGCGCACATGATGTTGCGTACAACGCAGATGTACCGGTGAAGTGTAAATTTCGGACTGTGAAATACTGACTCACTGGTAGTATTGCGCATGCCTACGTGAGGATTGTGCCGGTTCAACCAATAACAAAATTTTAAGGAGATGACAACATTTAGTGAGAGACGACAACATGTAATTTCCGGTTTTGGATTTTAATAAAGTTTTATCCTCTATCTATCTATCTATCATCTAAAACGGTGCTGGCACTGGATTTCATAGGAGCCCAAATTTCATGTTACACTGGAAAAGTGTTAAAGACCAGCCAGACACGACTCTATCATCCATTTAAAACCGGCCACGTGACGGGCTCTCAACCAATAGGAATGGGTAAACTGTCTTAGGCATTAATGAATGAAAATTAGAAACAGAAAAATGGACAAATGGGAAAACGGACAAATGGAAATAAAAAAAAAGGAATAATAGAAAATTGGAATAGGTACAAACAGAAAAAGGGAGAAATGAATACATTGAAAACAGAAAATACAAAACCAAAAAAAGTGAAATAAAGCAAAACAAATTTGGAAGTTTGGAAAGCAACCTACGTGGTAGATGTATTGGCATTCTTTCTCCGTGATGAGGTAGCTGTTGACCTGTTTCAGCGTCGGCTCCAGATCCTTCACGTCAACTTCATAATTCTGAGGAAAAAATTACAGATAATCCCATAAACAATTTATTTGCACACCAAAACCAACCAACATGTATATTTATTTGCCGTTGTTAAGGGAACATCATAGACTGCAATTTACCAACTACAGTTGTATATGTTGGGTCTTGACTTTTGACTTCCAATTTATTATTTATTCTGCTCTATGTTTTCCCCATCTTTTTAAAAAAATTGCCGGACACTTACAACTATTAAAAATTAATATTATTTCATTATATGAAGTGATTCTGTTTTCAATGGAAAATGGGTAATGCCAAGATTTATTTGCGCCAAAATTCACATCCGGCGCCAACAAATCACCACGAAAATCAACTTTGTGATCAATGGTTCATTCCATTTTCGTCAGCTTCGCCTCTGGAAAGCAGAACGCTCAGAGGGATAGCTTCACTACACCAGTCGAAGCAGTCAATATTTACATAGGTCATTCGATAAATTTGGGGTCCACTTTTTCCCTGTCCCTGTACATCCAACATCTAAGATTTTATTAATGTGATGCACTCCTTAATGCAGTCGTCCTCCAAGAGTGATTATGAATAGCAAACCACCTACCCAACAAATAAACAAATAATTTCAAGTCAGTCTTAATGATACGTAAATAACAAAGTGCCAAGATAACAGGGACAGGAAGAATGTCACACTTTGGATCCTAAATTTATAGAATGACTCAAATTAAATTCTCAGCTAGTAATTTTTTGTACCTGTACTGGATTCATTCGCTGGTACAAGATGCTCTGCTTCCGTCTGAAGTCATCGTTGGTAGCAGCTCGGCTCAGCGTCTCCTGCTGCTTCAAGGAACTCCCCTTGATAGATGCTCTCACTTTCTCATCTACAAGAAAGATCAAATAAGTTTCAGACCAGATCTAACAAACTGAGTCTTAACCAGTTTGTGTCGGAGGACGTGATAACACGCACTGGTTGTTTTTATACACAGGCACCGCTGGCGGGTTAAGACGTCAAGATTGCCTTGACTCGCCTCCGGGTGATGTCTAAACACGCTAATGCCTTGTGCCTTTTGTACACACACACAAAGTCCATGAAGTCTGTGGAGGCGGACAGTGTGTTGATCTTGAATTGGCCGTTGTGCACGGCCTGTTGTTGTACAACTCCAGTGCACACCCTGGAGTATTGAAACATATGAGGTTTCAGCAAGAAATATCGTACAAATACTGTTGAAATTACTCTTGTGAATCAGTATTTGGGGCGTTTGGCTGTGCATATCAGAAACTGGCTTGACAATTTTGCCTTTTGCGAAAATCGTAATTTTCGGCAAAAATAATCCTGGCGCGAAGTGATTATTAAAGGATGTCTCCTCACACATTAGTTTTTAATATATATCCGAAACGTCATAGTTGGCTCTTCATTTTGTGATCAGAGGGTCAGGTGTTCGAATCCTGCTGCTGGCCATATGTTGTGTCCTTGGGCAAGCCATTTAACCCGACTCTCTCCACCAAGAAGTATAAATGGGTACCAGCACTGGACTAGCATCCCATCTGGAGAGATACTGAAACAGATTTTTTAAGACTGCATGCAGACACGAAAGAAACAACAATGAGAAATCTTAGCTAGCATTTCGAAGATATCTTACTGAGCAAAGCGGCAATTCTTTCCTGAGTCAAGTCGTATTTTTCCTGCGCCCTTTCTCTCTCTAGATCCAGCTTCCTTACTGATGGGTCCGACTCAAGCTACAAAAATTTTTGAAAAAAATTCAAAAATAACCAGTGGACACAAAACGAAAACAAATTATTTTGTTTCCCAAGTAGGCATAGTCCTGGTTCATCCAGAATGTTCCCTTGTTTTAAAGTTTTAATACTGTTTTAGTAAACACATTTTGTATTAAATGTTTCTTGGCTTTTTTGGCCACATCCAAACAAGAGGAATACAGTCGACTCTTGTTAGTACAAACTCTGTTAATACAAAATTCTGGTTATAACAAACATTAAGCCTTAGTCCCAACTGTGCATTTATGTGCACAATGTATGGGACTGATGTTCCTCTTAATACAAAATTCTGGTATAACAAACAATTTGGCTAGGTCCGAACGAGTTTGTATTAACGAGACCACTGATCTCTATATAAAGACTGGATAGCTAATAAAGAGCCGCACAATGTACGAATTTGACGCCATATTGGTGAGACCGGCTGGTGATCTACAAAGGACAAGTTGCCGTCTTTATAGACAGCTTGATTTCTTTTGTAACGTCGCGGCTCACTTGACTTATATTTTGGCCACCACCACTGACCAACTGACCAAGGTTTACTACAATTTTTCCAACGTAGTGGTTACTTTTATAATGCCGCAAATCACTTTTTCAGCGTTTTTGAAATAATTATCACTACGGAAATGTGTTCCTTTTAGAACATCATAATATGTGTACGTGACCAAAACGCGCGTCAACTGTTGATACAACGCGCGCGTATTTACGCGTAGAACGTTCGTATTATATGCGGCCATCTTCGTGAGACCGGGGGCGAATTGGTCATTATGCAAAGTCTACTGTGTGAATGTTGTATGCATATCCGCTATCCAGTCTTTATATAGAGATCAGTGAACGAGACTCAACTGTACATGGTAATTGTTAAAGTTGGTGTAAACGTGCTTTAAGGGTATGGCACCCTGAAAATAGATTTTTAAATTTAATTGATAATTTTCTAGCAATGTACTAGTTATGAGATTTGGAAAAAATAAGCCCAAGGCTAGTAATCAATTAATTGATTTCAACTTTTGAATTAGGAGCATCCCGCTTTTTTATTATAGACTTGAAATCAAGCCTGTAATTGGCCGGGTTTAGTCCGCCTGCGCTGCCGCATACAGGGATTACGTGTAGCGTGGGACATAATAACATGCAAGAACATTCACGTCAACCTCGGCCCCAATAAGCGTGTGCGTCGATTCCAAGTCAGTTCGCTGTATATGTACATGAAAATTGATGAGTAAGAAAACAATTTGTAAGAAAATTAATTTTGGTACCATTTGCCAGTGTTGGTCACTCAGACGGCTCAGGACCCAGTCGTCGCTCTCGGGATGGACCTCCTGTCTGCTGCCCTCGTCTGGATTCAGGTAGCCAAGCTCCTCAACGACCGAGATAAACTTGACCTCGCCTGACAATCAAGACCAACAAAATTTAAAAGTTTAAAGATTGAGGTCAGAATTATGCTAAGCACAGAAAACATTTGCTTAGAAAAATAAAACGGGTTACCAACCAAAATATTACATGATGTATACCGTTCTTGACTGGTTCCCACCATATTGTTGCTAAGCACACACATTTACTACGCAAATATTTTCTGCTAATTGGCTCAATAAAATTCGGCCAGAGTATTTTTTTTTGACTGATTTTTTTCCGTCACCTTTCTTTTTCTTGCCTTGTGGACTTTTCTTCTCCGCAGCGTTCGGATCGAACCCCGGCCTCAGGATTTCGGGGAATTCATGGCGGGCAAAACTGGCCACGATTCGTTGCCTCTCGTCCGACAGCTGTGCAACCTTCAGCTGCAGGGCGTTCGATTTCTGGTAGAGCGTGTCCAGTTGGAAGGCGAGCTTGTCCATGTAATCGTCTGCCGCAAACTAAAAGGGGGAACAGAAAAAAAAATAATAATAATTGATGGAAACATTCAACAATAATTTGGAAATTCTATGCTGACCAAAACACAAGTAACTAGCTATTCCCTTTTGCGTTTAAATGTGACTCTCCAGCACTAAACCAGTTGGAAGTTGCACAGCCGTATTTTGAGAAACAGCCTATAATACAGCCAATAAAACATAGAATATTGAATCAAATTGGGAACCATGGGCATCGCGAGGGGAGGGCAATGCCCCTCTGGAAAAGCAAAAAGCAAAAAAAAAAAAAAAAGGGAGAAAAAAAAAGGGAGAAAAAAAGGGGGGAAAACAGAAAGAGAAAGAGGTGCGAAGTCATATTGCTGTAAATTTAATGGAGTGGGGGGGGGGGGCCCAAATGTCCCTGCCCACCCTCGAAAAATGATAAATCGAGAATATAATGGAAAAGTACGGGGATTGGGGGGGGGGGGATGTGCTTTGCCCCCCTCTAGGAAAAATCCTAGCGACGCCCACGTTGGGAACTGAAAATAACTCTTTTATCTGATTCCCATATTCTATACATCATTGGAAGCTTATTCAATGCCCTTTCCAATGAGCCTAAAATCACACCTTTTTCCAAAATTTTCAAAAAATTGTTCCAAAACAGTGACTGGTTTTATGCTGGAGGGTCACAAATGTTTGAGCTCCTTCGCAGACACATTTATAGAAGAAATTATGCAAATTTCAGCAGGTCAATTTGCATAATATGAGTACGGTAACCTCTTTTGGGTTTTTTTCAAACAGTATCATACGTCAAAATTAGGAAATTTTCCAAATGTTTTAACAGCATACCTTGCGTAATGGTTTTGTTTCTAGAAATAAAAAGGCTGGTAAAAAATTCCTGCAAAGTTTTTTATTAGAGTAATGACAAAGTTTTTTGGTTGTTACCATAGTTGTTCCGAAGAAATTTGTTGGTCTGTTGTTGTCCCCTCCGCTTCCAACCTTGTCCCTGTTGCTGCCCTCCTTCCCAGGGGCAGCGAGGTTCATCGGACTGACGTAATCTTCCTCATTGATCGTCCTCGACACGGCGAACGCACTCCTGAAATCCTCCCCGATAGGATCGTCATTGACTGCGCTGGCGTAACCTGAGGTTTCCGTCGTTACTGAAGCGTTGTCCTGGTCTGACTTTGCACTCACTCGGGAATTTGGCACTGCGGTGGTGCTGTCATGGACTTTGAGACTGGCCACTGTGGGGACACTAGGGGGAGCTGTTTCCTCCACCTTGATGCCCTTTTTGCGGAGCGCACCGTGGAAGATGTGCTGGTAGTGTGGAATGCGCTGTTTACTGCAAACACAAACAGATATGGAGTGCAGTTTGGGGCAGTACAGGGAGTAACAGGCAGGGGGGTTTGGGGCAGTACCAGGAGTAACAGGCAGGGGGGTTTGGGGCAGTACAGGGAGTAACAGGCAGGGGGGTTTGGGGCAGTACCAGGAGTAACAGGCAGGGTGGTTTAGGGCAGTACAGGGAGTAACAGGCAGGGGGGTTTGGGGCAGTACCAGGAGTAACAGGCAGGGGGGTTTGGGGCAGTACCAGGAGTAACAGGCAGGGTGGTTTAGGGCAGTACAGGGAGTAACAGGCAGGGTGGTGTGGGGCAGTACAGGGAGTAACAGGCAGGGTGGTGTGGGGCAGTACAGGGAGTAACAGGCAGGGCGGTTTGGGGCAGTACAGGGAGTAACAGGCAGGGTGGTTTGGGGCAGTACAGGGAGTAACAGGCTGGGTGGTGTGGGGCAGTACAGGGAGTAACAGGCAGGGTTGTACTTACTGGACGATGCAGTATTTGGCCAGATAGTCCAAGGCATCCACCATCACTGGTTCGGGACTGCCTGCTTCTGTAGGCGTGGCTTCTACTTTACGCCATTTCCTCTTTTTAGGTCTGTAAAAAAAAAGAGGGGAAATTTATCAATCGATAAAGAGTATGGACAGATGCAACATTTTCATAAAAATTAAAAACAAAATCATACATCCCCTTTACACAGACAAGAGTTCTGAAGCTTGTGATGTATCACAAGGTTATCAAAAGGTTATCGCAAGGTTATCACAAGTCCATCACAAGTCCATCACAAGTCCAGCACAAGTCCAGCACAAGTCCATCACAAGTCAATCATCACAAGTCCATCACAAGTCAATCTTAAGTATATCACAAGTCTATCACAAGTCAATCACAAGTCAATCACAAGTCATTACATGTCAATCACAAATCACCACAAGTTCTTCACAAGTCCATCACAAGTAAATCTCAAGTCGATCATAAGTCAATCACAAGTTCATCACAAGGTTATCACAAGTCAATCACAAGGTTATCAACAGTCCATCACAAAGTCAATCACAAGTTCATCACAAGTCCATCACAACTCATCACAAGTCATCACAAGTCTTTCACAAGTCCATCACAAGTCAACCACAAGTCATCGCAAGACCATCACAAGTCCTCCAGTCCAAAATCAAGTCGCAAGCTACTCAAATGAACTATGACAAAGGTATTCCTTTGCTCATCGTTCATCCCCTGTTACTTGCGACTGGACTAGTAATTTACTTATGACTTGTGATCAACCACACAACTGAAGTGAGATACACCAGATGAATCTTGGAGAGTACAACAAAAATAAAAGGAGGCAGAAGTACTTACTTGTATTGAACTCGTCTTCTCTTCATAACGATAGGCTCCAGGATCTCCATTGGGGTTAGAGGAGGGGGCTCTGGGGTAGGCGTAGGTTCCTTAGGGGGCTCCGGTGTGGGTACCGGGGGTAAGGGTGGCACCTCTACGTCAATGGGTTCCACGGGGTCTGGGGTTGTGGGGAACTGGGGGGGTTCTGCCGGCTCGGGAAGCTTCTCGATAACGGGCATGACGAAAGGTTTGGGTTTCTGCGAGAGGAATTATGAAGAAATAATCATTTTATTAGTGATGTTGTGTGAAATGGAAAAAAAAATTTAAAATTTGAATGACAAGTTTTATATTATCTCCAATTTGGGATGAGGATTTCAGCACTGCGAACTCTAAGAAATTAAACTCACCTTTTTTGGTTTGTCCGGGATCTTTTTGGCTTTGACGGCCATGGGTTTCTTGACGGGGGCTGGCTTGGGCATTTTGGCATTCCGGGTCTTCTTGGAAGGTTTGATAATCGGGGCTGGCTTCTCTGGTTCTGTGAAAAATACAATTTGTTCTGTGAATAAAATTTGTTCTGTCCGTCACAAGCCAAAACAAAACAAGCAACGGGTTATAAACAACAAAGAACACTATCGTTGCAACCATTGGAATGGATTATGAAAAAATGAAATTTGTAATATTTTTCATTGTTAGTTGGGGACAGAAATGAAATACAGTAAAATCAACATTGATTTTGAAAAAAATCTGATACTTGATTATTTTGTTTTTTACCTTTTGGGGGCGGTGGGGGTGGTGATGGGGCCGGGGTGGGAACTTTGGCAGGTTCCGGCTCCGGTTCTGGTTCCACCACTGGTTCTGGTTCTGGCAGGGCTGGTTCCGGACTCGGTTCCTTCAACACTTCCGGTTCTGGAACTGAACCAAAATGGAGTCAAAATGATTTTATGAATAAAACAGCATGCTTCTGAGGATTCTAAGCAAAATGTTGTGCTACAAAGATTAGAGGACAAAAATGGCTCTGTGAATTTGATCAGATAAATAACAGCAAATAACAAATGTGACAAATACTAAACTAAAAGAGTGCTGCAAAGAAAAAAAGGTGATGACATACAACGTAATGTGAACTTAAGACCAAACCCAGGTGGAAATTCCAGTTGAAACCAGTTCAACTGGCTCAACCGGTTTCAACTGGTACCAGTGGAACTGGAAATAGGTGACTGGTTTTGAACTGGATTAAACCAGTTTATTCGGTTGCCAATTTCCTGCTGAACTGGCTTCCTGTGAACTTAAGACCAAGCCCAGGTGAAAATTCCAGTTGAAACCAGATTAACTGGCGTAACCGGTTTCAACTGGTACCAGTGGAACTGGAAATAGGTGACTGGTTTTGAACTGGATTGAACCAGTTTATTTGGTTGCCAATTTTCTGCTGAACTGGCTTCAGCTGAACTTTTCACCTGGGAATGTACACTTCAATAATTATTCAGAAGTCTGTAAACCTAAAGAATTTTTTTTATGATTGTCATTTCGGCATCCCGTCGAATACAGCTTACGGGGTAATCCTATACAACAGCACTGCCCAGCTCTCTCCACCAGTGAACAGCCAGGCTAAATCACAACAAACAGTCGGTTAGTCAGTCAGTCAGTCAGTCAGCTGGGTGCAAAGAGGACACATGGGGCAAGTTCGGGCAAGGACCATTTAACTAGTGGTTGGTTCGTGAAGTACCTAGCGCATGGGCACTGATGTTGAAGTGCGAAGGACTCAGTCGAACTATTGTCATGTCACGACCATCGGAAAATGGCCGTCGCGATATCACACAATTATTAAACACTTACACGTGATTGTGGATAGTTTAGGACATCATGCTTACATAATCACCATTATTATTTGTACAATGGTGACCAAAGCGAAATAATGATAAACTAACGTGGAAAAACTGTGCAATGAAAATTAAATTTAGCGCTCACATCAGTTTCGTTTTCTGCCATTTTTGTTGAAAGTTGGCCCCCTCTGCACTATGCTATGGACATTGCTATTGCTAACCAGCTTTAAATCGTTGCGCGACCAGCCGCGGTAGACAGAGTTCAGGCTAACTTAGTCAAACTATGGTTAAATAACCATTGGTCAACAATAGTTCTTGCACGAACTTGCCCTAGACTGGGACCAGCAAAAATGGCACAAATGCAAACTTGTAACCTAAAAAAAAATTAGCACGCCCATCCAAAACCGAGGCTACAAAACCTACCAGGCTGTCGGAACGGCACTTGGGGTATATCCATATACGGCCTCTCCGATTTAGCCGGTACTTCTGTCGGTTAGCAGCGACGTTAGAATGCCAAGCAAGTAGTACGAGAGGTAATTAGAGAAAGAGCATGCAGCGAATAAAAAGGATTAGTTCACAGACACCATAATTAGAAGCTTAGGATGGGGAATAGTTTACAGAAATGTTTTCTTGTTGTTATGAAGAGAAATATTTGAAATAGATTATTTGATGATTACATCATATTACAAGATTAACAGAAACTAGTTTCCGGAAATTAATAAGCAGCAATATTGGAAATTAGGAGATATTATTGTGTGAAATGTAGGTACTGTGATAATGGTTTGTTATGAATTGCAAGATATTGGGAAGAAAATTATTTTATGATGGAAGAAAAATCAATTTAAAGAATTTAATAATGACTGCATTAGGAGAACATTTCCTTAGATGATATCAAAGCAAGTGAACTTTCAACCAATTTCAAATTGAAATAGAAATATGAATTTGCATTATTTTACCAGCTATCTCTGTGCAAAGAAATATTGACTGCTTTGACTTGTGGTATAGTAAACTATAGACCCATGGAGGTGTCTATATTCCTGAGGCGAGGCAAAGGGAATATACCGGCAGAGGGTGACCCCAAAAAATGCAACCCTGAAACGTTTGCCGTTTTTCAAAAACGTGATCTGTGAATTTTTATGTTTTGAATATTAAAGCTGAGATGCTTTTTCTTGCAAATACTGAAAAAAATCATAAGAACAGCAAAAAGGATTGCTGAGAAAACGCAATTATGTAACACAACTCATTTTTCTTAAGTAGTATATTTGTACTATACCACTTTAATAAAGCAGTCAACAGTGAAATGTTACATCTTTTCATGCTTAGTAAGTGGTTTAACTGATGGTGTTTGTGTTGAGTTTCACCTCACCTGGTTCAATTTTCTTCGTCGTCTTCTTGACCGGTTTTGGGGGTTTCTTACGCTGAACTTTAGGCCTTGCCGGCTTTTTGTCTTTGATCGTGACTAACATAAGAGATGATGAATGAATGAATGATGAAGTTGAAGAAAAATAAAGTGATGAAGATGAAGAGTAAATTGCGATGTCATAAAACTATAAAAAAAAAAATGAGGTTGGCATGGCAGTCGTACTTTCATGGCAAGATTTGCATGATTATACTAATCTTCAGTATTGTACAGGGTGAGTTAAAAAAAAACCCACAAATGTCGGGACAATTTTTTTTAGTGAAGTTCTGCATGTAGCACTTTCAAAATCTAGGATATAGAAGCCAAAGTTGTAAGCTTTCTTTTAGTACAAGAATCACTCAAATCACTCATGTACTTTCAAATGTGGAATTTCAAATGCAACCACCGTTTTAAGGTTCTGTCCACAGATCACAACTCTTTCAGCAAAACTAAAACAAACCACATAGGGATGTGTGTGAATTGTTTTCGTTTTGATGAAAGAACACACGCCTTTTTTGTGATCCATGGAGAGAACTTTAAAACGGTGGTTGTGTTTAAAATTCCGTAACTTGAAAAGTACATGAGTGATTTGAATGATTCTTAAAACTAAAAGAAAGCTTATGAATTGGGCTTTCATGTCCTAGATTTTGAAAGTGGTACATGCAGAACTTCACTAAAACAATGGTCCCGACATTTGGGTTTCGTTTTTTTTTTACTCACCCTGTATTGAATCCTCACGCATCTACCACAATTAGATTACAAGTTATCGAGTCCCAACGATAAAACAAACTGTGACAAAGGCATTCATGTTTTATTGTTTTGAATGAACTTGTGATTTAGTTGTGGCCAGACTTGTGACGAGACTTGTGACGAGACTTGTTGGGGGAGTGTGGCCTAGTGGTTAGGGTTCGTGTCTTGTTATCAGAGGGACAAGAGTTCAAATCCAGCCGCTGCCATATGTTGCGTCCTTATAGGCAAGCCACTTTGCCCCCACTTGCCTCTCACAACTAAGGAGTATAATATGGGTACCGGCTTTACCTGGGGAGTAACCTGTGATGGACTGGCATCCCATCCAGGGGGAATAGAAATATTCTCAGTTGTCTCATCCTAAGGAAACCTTAAATTAACGCCGGCCTGATGCGCCATATTAGCTCGGGACAGCTTTACTAATTTTCTTTTTTACTGAACTTGTGAAGGACTCAGCAACAATGTTAATCTTCTGCGACAATGACAGAAACTTCCACAGATCGGCAAAGATGCATGCATGCCACAACTTTCGAAAATAAAGTTCAGAAGTAAAAAGAAAGAACTAAACGATTGATGTTCCAAGAGGAAGAAAAATGATTGAAGGATGTATAAACTGAATGGAAATGAATTAGCATTTTTTTATGTTGTTATTCGTGATGTTGACTTTATGAATTTAATAGCCATCACAATGCTCTGGTGGTTAAAAAAAAAATGAAGTGAATCGTCTTCTTCCACCGAAAACTTGTTTCCATGCAAATAATTATGAGCAAACTTAAGATTTCTTGCCGCAAAATGAAATACTAAATTAGGTAAGGAAAATGAAGGCTGTTAGAATTTCTGGGATGAGAAAATTCTTCTTATTTTTTTGTATCCACTTACCTGGTTCAGGTTCAGGCTCTGGTGGGGGTGGTGTGGGATCTTTTGGTGGCAGAGGTGGGATCACTTCGACCGGGGTAGGTTCTCTTGGAGGGGGTGTGGGCTCTCTGGGTGGGGGTGTAGGCTCTCTGGGTGGGGGTGTGGGTTCTTTGGGTGGGGGTGGCGTGGGTTCCTTTGGAGGGGGTGTAGGTGGAGGTGTGGGGTCTTTAGGGGGTGGAGGGGTAGGTTCTGATGGGGGTTCGGGGGTGGGATCTTTGGGTGGGGGTGGAGGTGGGGGAGGGGTGGCTTGCTTGACTGGGGCTGGTTCCTTTTTAACTTCTGTTGGAAAGCAGAAGAGAGCGATTTCGTTAAAGATTGATAAATAAAAATAATGGTCATAATAAACAAATATGTGAGTTTCAGATTGATGATGACTTGTCTTATTGGAAAGTGCCCAAAATATTTCCAGTGACATATCTCTCCCCCCCCCCCCCCAAAAAAAATGGCATTACATATGATTAAATGCATTTTATTTATTCTCGGTTTTTGTTTTACCTTTCTTGGGCTTAACTGCTGGTTCTTTAGGTGGTGGCTTCTTTTTTCTAAATAAAAAAAAAAAAACCAATTTATTATTAGTGGATGAGAAGGTTGCTGTGCATGTAAAGAATTTGACTTCATCAAAAGCCAAAAACAAAGGTGTATGTTTGAGGGGGGAAAAATTGTACATTAATTACAAAATATTTGCATTTATGTGAATAAACTGCTAGTGCTACATATGTGCATGTCAAGACTCCATGCAAATTTATGATGGTAGAAATGACGTGGAATTTGCAAGCGAAAAACAACGTGATCAAAAATGCACCCAACAAGGTCAATGTGCGCAAAATGTGTGCAAAATGGGTTTGGATTTAATGTGAATGTATCGGAACGGTAATTCACACTGTGGAAAATGTGCAAGGTTTTATTATCCAAATTCTCGAGTCGGCCTGTTCTTTACTGCTTACATTGTCCGTGGAAAGCACAAAGTTTTTCACGGAAAGAAAATGTGGAGTGATGTGGCCTCGTGGTCTGGAGCATTGAATTCGTGGTCTGCGGGTAATTCTGCAGGTTGTGGGTTCGAGTTCAGCCCGAGGCTATTGTGTGTGTGCCCTTGGGCAAGGCACTTTGTCACTCATTGCTTCTCCCCACCCAGGAGTAAATGGGTACCTGTGAGGGCAGAGATGGTTACGATTTAAGCTGTTTGCGCCGAAATGGCAGCATCGAGCTATATACTCGCCAGGGAGCTGAGATGGTTTTTGGAATGTATTTATTGGCCCAATGAGCAGGGTAATAATGATGTAGCGCCTTGAGCACCAATACTGATGGATATGTGCACTTTATAAATACCCATTATTTATTATTAAAATCTCGGTAGTCGCAGGGTGATGAAACTGGGCCCACGCTGCGAAACATGGCAAAGTCGTTCGTTCTGCAAAATACTTGGAATAAATGGGCGCCCCTTCCAATTCTCAATCAAGAACTGTGTTTGAAACTCATTAATGCACATCGTAACAAAGGATGATTTCAGTACTATTAAAAAAAGAGCGCTTCGCCAGGGATATCCATTCAAGTCCATATCGTCACTTGATGCTTTTCCCTACAACGATGAAAGGGCATGACGTGAATGGTTGGTTGCCATGGTAACTCAGCAAGCGTGCACCAGTGATTCCAATGATGCATGGATGATGATGGTAAAACGTGCATGCTGAACACCGGGTACCAACTTACACCGCTGCTTTTTCCGGCTGTTTCTTTTCTTCCGTTTGTACAACCGCTGCTTTTTCAGGCTGTTTCTTTTCTTCCGTTTGTACAACCGGCGGTTTGCGTTCCGGCACCTTTTCGGTTTTCACAATCTTTTTAGCCGGAGGGAGAGGGGCCATTATTTCCTCTTTCTGGACCGGTTTGGGTTTTTCCTTGACCACCGGTTTGGTTTTCTTGATAATTTTCGGTGGTTCTTCTACCGGTTTTGGGGGTGGCGTAACTGGCCTAGCGACAGGTTTTCTTGGGTTTGGAAAGAAATTATTAAGGTAAGAGTTAAACAGAATATAACATAGAATACATGGAAAGATACCGTACAATTCAGTTAAATAAAAAAGTGTTGAAATACTGAAGCACAGATATATTTAGGATTGTAACAAAATCAGGTACTACCTTACATACAATACAACGTTGGTTAATTTTTGTACAAAACTGCACAAAAATGTTTACATCAGTGGTATACTCGTAGCATCTACATCAGCTCATTTTTTTTTTAACCAGATATTCGCACAAAATCTGTGTTACTATTCTTTAGCATAACCTAGAATACTTCTAAATTTGTTTTTTTCACTTTATCAGATCAAATCTGCACAAAACTTACTTTTTTGGAGGCGGAGTCTTGGCCCGCACTGGCTCGGGAGGAGGGGGTGGAGGCGGTAACGGGTCCTTCTCGACTTTCTTGACTGGCGTTTTCACAAACTTCGTCTTTTCAAGTTTCTTCTTCGGGGGCGCTTCGACCGGTTCCCTCAGTGACGGAATGGGCTCTGCGGGTTCCCGTTTCTTGGGTTGAATCGGGACGGTCGGTTTCTTAGCAACCGGGGGCGGGGGAGGCGGGGGAGGCGTCGCCGGGCGGAGCCGCTCATTCCTCTCCGGCGCTTTCCATTCCGTCGACGTCTTCTTCGGCGCAGGTTTCTTTAACTCAAACTTGTCCGGTTCCTTCCAGGTTTTCTCCTCCCGTTTGGTCTCGATGGTTTTGGTCGTTGGCTTGGTGGATTTGTGGACTTTGAAGCCTTCGTTCTTGGGGACGTCCAGGGAACGGTCCTTGCTGAACGGGTCCTGGGCATCCGTTGTCTTGGACTCGGACTTCTTGGGTTGAAAGGCTTTGGGCGCTGTGGACGTAACAAAATTGACAAATCTGATTAATTGCACTTCTGATAAATCAATATTAGGTTTTGCCCTTCACCGACGTATAAACACTGTACACTCAGTGTGTTACCTCCCGAGTGAAAGTTGGAAAAAATCACTCGGTGATACATGTTCATCAGATTCCAACCAGCCAACCGATCCCACAAGCTCGGTGGTCGAGTGGTATGTTTACACTAGAAGGCAGGAGGTCGTGGGTTCGAGTCCCACCCGAGTGACTTTTTTTCCAACTTTCACTCTGGAGGTAACACACAGAGTATACAGTGTTTAAACGTCGGTGAGGGCAAAACCAAAAATTGATTTACATCAGCCCGATGCAAATTCCATCTTATGAAAAATCTGATACTTAAGTACAAACTTATGGTAAATTCTCAGTTGATTTAAAACTTTTCATCACTCTTTATCTCACCTTTGTAGAGATGTTTTCGTCTTTCTTTCTCATATTCCTCCCTTCTTAATCTTTCTTCTTCAAGACGTCGTTTCTCCCTGGCTCTTGCCTCCATCCTCAGTCGAGCCTCTTCCTCCAGACGTGCTTCTTCTTCTAACCTTGCCGCTGAAAAATACAATCATAAAACGCAAGCCTCACGGTCAAATATTTTTTCAAATTCAGTTCACTTAATCATAGTTTCTGCTCTTCTGTCAGCAATTCCAAGCTTGTTTTGAGGGGTTTTTTTGGCTCGGAAATTTACATGTCCAATAATTTCTGCTGTAAAATTTCCAAAGAGAGTTTCAAACCAACGAAGGCCTCAAAACCTCCAATCTTGTTCAATGTTTGTGTCAAATCGATACCTTTTCTTCAATAACTTGTTCTTTTTGTAAAAAATTATCACCCAGTATTGTTGGTTTTGTTCACCAAACACTTATGTTTCAAACAAAGGGTTTGAATTATTTTTTAAATCTTTCTACTACAGTTATTCAAGAGTTGTTAAGTAAATCTCACCCCCTGCCAATGCATTGGTACAACGTACTATACGTACACTATTTCCATTCTTGTCTTGTTTTGTTCGTGTCCCTATTTTCTGAATCTTCTTTGCTTTTTCTTTTTGTATGAATCCAACTTCTTTCAGGGATTAGGACTAAATCTCGTTCTTCGGAAAATCTCAGTAGATAATCCCATGGTATTAGGTCACTTTAATCTTCACGGAAAATTCGATGTGGCCTTGGTTGCTAGCCAATGAAGGGAGTTTGTGGTATGAATATTCATGAGCTGTGAAGAATATATTTGAATAATTCCTATTCTCACCTTCGGACATGATGGATGTTCCTATTCCAGATGAGGAACGGTCAGAGAAATCCTTGGGGTTGTAATCTGGCAAGAGCTGGCGCAAGACTGTTAGGGCAAAAAAAGAGATCACAAGTCAATCACAAGCAATCACAAGTCAATCACAAGTCAGTCATGAATCAATCACAAGTCAGTCACAAGTCAATCACAAGTCTATCACAAGTCAATCACATGTCAATCACAAGTTGATCTCAAGTCAATCACAAGTCAATCACTAGTCGATCTCAAGTCAATCACAAGCCAATTACAAGTCAATCGCAAGTCAGTCACACGTCAATCACAAGTCAATCACAGGTCAGTCACAAGTCAGTCACAAGTCAATCACAAGTCAATTACAAGTCAATCACAAGCCAATCACAAGTCCATCACAAGTAAATCATAAGTCAATCACAAGCCAATCACAAGTCTATCACAAGTCAATCACATGTCAATCACAAGTTGATCTCAAGTCAATCACAAGTCAATCACTAGTCGATCTCAAGTCAATCACAAGCCAATTACAAGTCAATCGCAAGTCAGTCACAAGTCAATCACAGGTCAGTCACAAGTCGATCTCAAGTCAATCACAAGTCAGTCACAAGTCTAACACAAGTCCATCACAAGTCCATCACAAGTCAATCGCAAGTCAATCACAAGTCTATCACAAGTCCATCACAAGTCCATCACATGCCAATCATAAGCTAATCACAAGTCCAATACAAGCCAATCGCAATTCACAAGTCAATCACAAGCCAACTGAAAGTCAACCACAAGTCAATCACAAGTCAATTATCAGTCAGTCTCATGTCAATCACAATTCAATCACAAGTTGATCACAAGTCAATCATAAGTCGCAAGCCAATCACAAGACAATCACAAGTCATGACTTACTTTGTAAACAGGCATAACAGTGATCTGCGAAGGGAAAACAAATAATGACAACACATTGTTATTCTTCACAAGGACATATGACATAATTAACATGACACGTTTATTCTGATCCAAATGTTAATATTAGAGAAATCATTACTGAGACACACTTAATAATTCAAAAAATAAATAGTTCAGAAAAGAAATTTTGATTTATTTTTTTAATGGAATTCACTGAAAATATCTTCTACAGGTTCCATATAAAGAGTGGATTGAAATAAAAATATAATTAAAATATATTAATGTCTGTATCCCGACTTTAGTCAATGATGTCATTCCAACGTTACTTTGATAATGCTTGGCTTTGTGGTTCCCGTCGCCATGGTGATGCACCATATCCAGGATCCATTCGGGTACTTTGGTTGGTTTCTGCCGTGGCACCGTCATCTCGTACACCGGCCCCTCCGGCTCAGGAAGCTTCTCCACCGACATTCGCAGGTCATCGTTCAGGGTCGGGTCTTCAGCTGTTGGACAAAGACATTAAATTTCCATTTGAAATTGCAAAGTTCTAGAGTTTATCCAGGATTTGTGTTCAAGTCAATCAAATGTTATTAATTCTTAAGTCAGATTCCAAGCTAATAAAACAAATTTGTGACGTGACTTGGGATAAACATAGGGGACGTTTTTCTTGCCTTCCACCGCTGTGGCCCAGGTTCGAATCCCGCCTGTGCCAATATGTGGATTGGGTTTTCAGTGCCTACCTGATTCCGTGGGTTTTCCTCAGAATATTCTTCTGGGGTTTTCCTCCCACCTCTAAAACTGTCATTTCTTCTCATTGTCTTCTCTCTACAGGTTTCTTCAGGCTTGTGAGTTACGGTGCCTAGGGCACTTTTGAGGAATCCTTGGTTTCAGTACCAGAAATTCATTATAATAACTCAACCACAATAAAAATATTTCAGCTAGAAAAACTACCGAATTAGGCAGAAAACCCACTTGCATTAATGGAAAAAGTTGTCATCAATTTTATGTATTGCCAAATGTGTGTCTTCACTAATTCAAAAGAGAGTTTTCGCAGAGAAATTTTATGAAAGATATAAATTTCTCTACTGTATTCAAATGTAAACTTCTGTGACTGGTCTGAATCATGCTCATTTGAATAATTTAATATTCATGAGATGACTCCATAATTATGTAGAGCAAAACTTACATGAATACAACAGCGATGAATCTGGTTTTCTTGTTTCCTTGGCAACTGTATCCGCCTTAGGAACATACACATATCTCGCAGGTTCTCTGCTGAAGAATGTAAAACCGCCCCCAATCCTCCTAGGCTTACTATGGTGATAGCTGAAGGACAAATAATTACCAATTGAACAATTAATATTATTCATAATAATAAATATATTGTATTTTTTTGATAAACTTTCTGTTTCTTATTTATTTCAGAAGTTTCTTTCACAACTTGGGATAATTACCGCTTAAGTCAGTACTATATTAATTTTTTATCATTTAATTCTAACAAATGCTGTCAGATCTGAAAATGACATGTCAAAAAGACAAAGATGAACTGGACATATGAATGATGAGGACACATATTCAACTCAAGGTTGTCTGGTGAAAAGTAGAAGTTCAAAACATAAAAATAAAAGCACTAGTTGAATAAATATGTTGACTACAAATTAAAGTTAACTTTAACACAATGCAGTCTAACACACAAAATGCAGTCTAACAAAATATGGTAAATTGGGGGCAGTGTTTGAAGAAAAAAAAGTTTTTTCCAACACTGGTCGGCCCACCAGCCTTGGAAATTGAGACAAAAATACCACTTTTCTTGAAAATGACAGCACACCAGGTGCCACGATTTTACAGGATGCTTTAGACTGTCATTCATACTAAACAGTCCAGTAAGGTATTTCATAATAATTTGGTAGTTTTGTTTTTTGATGTTTGCAAAATGTTGTATATTCCCTTTAAGAAACAACACAAACTTAAGAAAGTTATTGAATTTGAGAAAACTTACTGTGGTGTACTACTCAATGCACAACCAAAGCAGACGCTCTGCGGTTGCCGAGTTACCGCACTGTCCTTCACCAAATCGTTCACTTCATCGTCACCACCCACAATCCCCTGACTTTCGACCTCTGACCCGATTCCCTCATCTTTCTCCAGAACCTCCAACCCCCGGAGGTCGGTGACCCGGACATCGCCCCGGCAACCAGCGCAGAGAGCCGGCAGGACGTAAGGCTTCTCCCGGATCTCGGTCTCGGAGAAGGCTTTCGGGTGGAGGGAGGCGGTCCCGACGAAGGGGAGGTAGGTGTGGCGGTAGGCGTCATTCTCCTGGACGGAGCGGAGTTTTTTGCTGAGGAGCGTCGAGGGGAAGCTTGCAGAGAGGTCGTGGAAGAGGTTCTGGTACAATCTGTGGGTGGAATGCCAAGTTTTATAGAGTTCTAACAAAGACATTTTCAACATTAGGCCATGTAAATGAAATACTTTCTCTACTGTCTTTTTGAAGGAAACGAAGGTCCATTTTTTTTCTCCCCCAGTTAGTTATTTTCCCAAGATGAAATTGAAAGATGAAAGATTTTTTCCAATTTCTGGACATTTTCTTAAATTTCCGCAGGATGATGGCAAAAAACCAAAACCACTAATGGCGATGTAATTCTTGTAAAAAAAAAAGTTGCTTTTTTTCATCAGGACACACTTTCCAGTTTGTAGTATATCAAGGATTTAATGACTTTATAGTCTTGTTATATTTTAAGTTCTGGAAAATGAATGAAAAGGCCTACCAAGAGTTTTGTCTTCGAACTTTCTTCGACTCTTCTTCATTTGTAAGCGCCCGCCAATGTAACAGCGCCCTCTTGTGAGCGGAAATAATCATTTCGACCAGTTCCAATTAAAATTTGTAAACTAAAAATTAAAACTAAAACTGGGGGAAGGGGGGGGGTGTTGCAAATTACTCAACAATTAATTAGGTACTCACGTATGCACAGGTAGCGGTGGAAGAAAGGTAACCTTTGATTCATCGCCTATATTATCCTGAACAAAGACGGGAAAAAAGACAAAATAATGAACGAACTGCCTGCAAGTTTTGAATTCTCAGTTCCAATATTCATTTGTATTTATATTCGAGAGTTAATTAATATTAGAATGAGTTCTTGTTTGACGATTTGCGGCCAATATGATAATTAAAGTAAATCAAGCTTTGATCTCCTGAATAAAAACTAATGTTAATGACATTTTTTTCCAGCTTCAGTTCGTTTATTTCAGTGAGGGAAATTTAATAAGTTCGATTTTTGCATGTGCACATAAATTTGGATTTTCGCAAATTCCGTTTAACTCGATGTTAAATCATTGCCCTTCACCGACGTATAGACACTGTATACTCAGTGTGTTACCTCCCGAATGAAAGTTGAAGGGCAAAAGCTAACATTGATTTACATCACCCCGACGCAAAATTCCATCTTACAGGAGTAGTTTAATTGTGGTACCCACTGCTACATGTACATGAGATTCAAACCAGCCAATTGATCCCGCAAGCTCGGTGGTCGAGTGGTAAGACATTTGCATTAGAAAGCAGGAGGTCGTGGGTTCGAGTCCCACCGAGTGATTTTTTTTCCAACTTAGGAGGCCGAGGTAACACACCGAGTATACAGTGTTTATACGTCGGTGAAGGGCAAAACTTATATTGATTTACATCACCCTGACGCAAAATTCCATCTCATCAACGTGAATTAATAAGATTGAAATTTGTACTGCCCATTTTAACTGAAGAATAATTGTCATATATTTTATCATGCTTTCTCGATCTCTGACCGCACAACTCGTTCGTGAGCCTTGCTAAAGGGATCATCGGTCAAGTGCACTCGATCCCGAAGAAAAATAATAATAATAACCGACACTTCTAAAATAAATTAAATACCAATTTGAACAATCCTTGAACCTTTACATCAGACTATTCATCATTCTACATATAATTCGTAACCTCAAAGTTTTAATTTTGGTTAACGAAACTCGAGTAGGGAATTTAGTGACCCTTGTTTCAAAGGAAAGAATAATAAATGGCGTACCTATACGCGCTGGTCTGTTTTGTTCTAGGCCCTATTTGTCGTTGAAACGACAAAACAAATTCTAACCGTGAAAAAAAAATCGCGGCCGGTTTGACTATTTTTTTCAAAATCTACCAGGTTTTGTCCACAAATTTGTATTTCATCTCTGTGTCTTTTTCGTTTCAACACATGGATTCTCGTTTTGGATACATTTTGTCGAAGGTTCTTGTTAAGTTGTCTCTGAGAAAATGTCACAAATCCTTCTTAAAGAATAATTTTCTCTCAATTAATATTTCGTTACTAGGCCTACATGTACTTTGAGACAAAAAAAGTAGCTCTGTCGATGGCAAAGCGGCGTGGAAAAAGTTAGTTTCAAGAGTTCAACGTTGTACGATGATTTACTCGAAACAACTTCGCTCCAAACAAAAATGACTGTCCTTCACTATTTATTGTCATAATTTACAAGGCCCGACTTTATTTACACGCACCCCCGCACTGCCCCCAGTTAAACAGTACGAACACAACCATTATATACAGACTCCGTAAGCGTCCCAATCGATTTATTTTATCGATCTAGAGACCGCATTGTCAGAAACACCAAGTGTTCAATATTGACAGAACAGTAAGCTATACGTACTTCAATGCCCCGTTTGTCTTCATTCGAGTCACAATTTTCTTACACCATCATGAGTTTGGAAGCTTTCTTACAGAATCTTAAACCAGCGCGGCTCGAATCCAGTCTATTCGTCTCTGAGCGACATCTAAACTCCGTTGTTTGTGTGTTATGTCATTTTGATGGGCCTTGCAGAACCCATCAATTTTATCATGTAGATAAGCCAAAGATTATCTTATCTGTATACCACAACCCTATTGTAAAAATCACCTTTCCGTAGGCTTAATAGTTTTGGAGGGACGTGAACTTTTGACAAAATCGTTTGATGTCGTCGTCTTTCATTATTTAAGTTGCCACTGTGACTCTGTATTTTGCAAAGATTATTTACCACAACAACCGCTTATACACGATATACTAAGGCCGTTTCATTCCCATGCGATAATGCATGTAATGCACGGATACCTAATCCGTATTGACGGTGACCGGCACCCAAATTACGGAAATTAATTACGGAAAGAAACCATTTTACGCGAATTCGCATTCCGCCGTTACGCCAGTTCGCATTCCGTAACTACGGATCCGTAATAACGAATTCAGAATGTATGTCATTGGCAAAAACGGACTCTCGTAAAAAGTCAGTTATGAAAGTTTGGTAGTACATGTATATAACAACGGACCGGCAACTTCAAAGAGATATTCCGAACCAGATCAATAAACATTACAGACCCCTAAAATAGTCTAGACTTCGCCATAGGCTTTAATGTTTCTAAACGATTGGTTCCCTCCTAGCTCAGTTATGTTTGCATAACTGTCTGAAACTACACTTTTATTTACTTTTTTTCGATGCCCTGGGGTGCAGAAACTTTTAATGGGTACGCTTGTCTCCCAGACGGAACAAAAGATCGATAGTTGGTAACTGGGGTTTGAGAAATTTCAACCCCACGCAACTCCCCCCAAAACACGGTAATTAATTCCGAACGTAATGTCTCGGTCGTGAGATGCAAATGAAATAGTTCTGGGTATAGATGGTGTTGTGTCTATAGGGGGACGTATCATAAGTCCGACGCCTCATATAGGTTCGACGCCTCATAAGTCCGACATTTCGGACTCAATTCAGGCGTCGGACTTAAATTCCGCCTCATAGGTCCGACGCATCGTAATTCCGACAATGGACAAACGCTGTTTCGGACTTATGACGCGTCGGAGCTATGAGGGGTCGGACTTAGGCGTCGTCGGACCTATGAGGCGGAATAAATAAATTGTATTTCTCCTAAGTCCGACGCCTCATAAGTCTGACGCATCATTAGACCGAAATTATTACAGGAGAAGTGTCATTTTTGGCCCGGAAAAGTATTAGGTCAAATGAAACCCGGATTCCAGGTCAATCTGTCCAGGGACTTTTTAAGAGTGAATTGTACTGTCTAGGTTCTCGTTGAAAACACAGTCATTTTTACCGGTCAAATCGAGAGAGAGATTTACGTAACTACTCAGAGCGGAATTTTCGATAATATTTTGAGATGACTGATCGTATTTCAAGATCGATTGCAATATATCGTACAACACGTAGACCTAACTTGTATAAATGCGTTTGGACATTCTTGTCTCAATGCATTTCGAGAAATAATGCTTTACCGGCAAATACGAAAACACCGCTATTATATCGGAAATCTTTTCAAGCTATTTTACCATGAATTTACACTGAAAAAAAAAATGTCTGGGTTAATTTTACCCAAGCAAGGGTGAAAACTGCAACTACCCAAACTTGGGTTGTTCTATAACCAATTGTTTGGGTTAGAATTTCTGCTAAATTCAACCAAAACTTGTGGTCATACAGGACCAAATTTAATTTGATCTTGTAGGCTATGACTACAACTTTTGGTTGAATTTAACATAAATTCTAACACAAACAATTGGTTATAGAACAACCCAAGTTTGGGTAGTTCCAGTTTTCACCCTTTCTTGGGTAAAATTAACCCAGGCAATTTTTCAGTGCAATTGTTTGGGTTACTGTTAAATTCAACCAAAACTTGTGGTCATATAAGACCAAATTAAATTTAGTCTGGTATGACCACAAGTTTTGGTTGAATTTAACAGAAATTCTAACCCAAACAATTATTGGGTGAAGCACAACCCAATTTTGGGTTGTTGCAGTTTTCACCCTTGCTTGGGTAAAATTAATCCAGGCAATTTTTCAGTGTATCGTTCAATGATTTAAAGAGCTCTGCATTTAAAATAATTTAATTTATAGTTTCGTTAATTTTGTTTCCCGATTTTTTTCAGACAATGTCTTGAAATAGCAACGGAGATCTCCTGCAAATGGTTGAGGAAAATTGGGAAACAATAACAACGCAATCGGTCGTCACAAACACTTACGTGTACTATCGTCGGCGTTGTTGGAATAATCGCTCTTCCCAGAACTTGAAGAGAGCACATGATTTTTGCCGCAAATTCCCAAATATCTCATCCAGTTCTGCACCAAAAATCCCGAACAACTTTTCCTATTTACAGACAACATTCCCTCACTGAACTGAGCTTGCACTGGGGCTTGCTAACGACAAACTAACTCTTTCCGCTTTGAAACGCACGATTGTCTTAAACCCTATAAATAATTATCCCATGTTCAAATATTTGAGAACTACCCAAGCCGTTTTGGTATGTTTGTTTTAACGCGCACGGTGTCGGAAAAAAACCCACCACCGACCGCTAGTCCAAATTTGACGTCCATTTCGTTTATTTGCACCAACTGTATCCACTTAATAGTTTGTTTAGCACGGGCGTTCTAAATAAATTCCCATTCAAACGCCACCTGTGAAAGTGCCAAAAACAAATTTGACATGCTTTCGACTTTTTGAAAGCGAAAAATGTCATTAAGCGCCATTTGTTTATTCAAACAGTAACCCTTTTTCAACGGGAGGATAAAATGTTACATCAAAACACAGAAAGTCGTTTCTTTTGTCATTGCATTTTCGAGGGAACTTGCCGATACAAAATATTGGTTTTTCGTGGTGTACAGGGTGAGTCAAAAAAAGCGAAACCCAAAAGTCCCAAATGTCGGGACCATTGTTTTTGTGAAGTTCTGCATGTAGCACTTTCAAAATCTAGGATACGAAAGCCCAATTCGTAGGCTTTCTTTTAGTACAAGAATAATTGAAATCACTCCTGTCCTTTTCAAGTTACAGAAATTTAAACACACCGTTTTTATGTTCTGTCCATGGATCACAAGAAGGTAAGTGGTCTTTCAGGAAAAACGAAAACAAATCACATAGGGATGTGTGTGTATTGTTTTCGTTTTGCTGAAAGAACGCACACCTTTTTTGTGATCCGTGGACAGAACTTTAAAACGGTGGTTGTGTTTAAAATTTCGTAACTTGAAAAGTACATGAGTGATTTGAATGATTCTTGTACTAAAAAAAAGGTTTATGATTTGGGTTTTCATATCCTAGATTTTCAAAGAGCTACATGCAGAACTTCACTAAAACATTAGTCCCGACATTTGGGTTTAGCTTTTTTTTTACTCACCCTGTATATTGTAATTGGCTGTTTTTAATTCAAAGAACATTGTGAAGTGATTTCAGGGTTTGACCCATATATGTCAATAAAATACCCACAATGCTTTGCGTTTCCTTAGCAAACTTGTGTGAAAGAGAATAGGCAACCCCCCCCCCCCCCCAAGTTGGCCCCAACGTCGTCCCCACGGCGTCGGGCAGTACGCTACCAATGCAGCTACTACACGAACGAGACTGAAACTGAAGACCCCAGCTGCGGGAAAGAGGTTATTAGTGGTTCCAAAACTTCCATTCAGCCTTCCGCATCGACCTGAAAAAACACCCATGAATTTTTGAGAAGGCCGTTCTGGTCCCTGCATGAAATTTTGATGCGTTGCCTTTTCAGGTGTTTGTGATAGGAGAACGGCCTTTTCACACAAGAACGCTAATGATATTTGTTTTGTAAATTATTCACATTTCTTCGATCAACAAGTGTTGTAGTATTCTTGGATGAGAAAATAAGTATAAATTGGTGACCAAAAGTCTTTTAACCTTACACTCTAAAAAAAAAGAAGGTAAAACTGACCCGGAATCCGGTTCTATTTGTCCTGATACTTTCTCCTGGACCATTTTGCCGTGTCAACTTGACTCGGAAAACTTGGAAAAATCGTTTTCACGCAGTAAAGAGACATTTTGACCTTGAAACGTATATCAGGCCGAATAGAACCCGGTTTCCGGGTCAAATTTGACAAGGTTTTTTTTTATATGAGTGTATTTTGTATTCCGGATAAAATGTCAGACTTCTTTGTATAATCATTTTCCGGATCATTTTGACTTGGACAACTTGGCAAAAGTGTCATTTTGACTCAGAAAAGTGTCCTTTTGACTCTGAAAGGATCAGCAGGCGAAACAGAGTCTGGTTTCTGGGTCACGTCTGACCATGTTCTTTAGATTGTAATTTTTGGGTAAAAATGACGCTTCTTTGGATCAATTTCCGGGATCATTTGGACTCGGACACCTTGGCAAAAGTTGACCAAGGAAAGTGTCATTTTGACCCTGAAAAGTACCAGGCAAGGTTCAACCCGGTGTTGTGTAAAAATTGAACTATGAAATACGGACTCCTTGTATTGCGGATGCCTAAGTGAAGACAATAGGACAGCAACAGGTCACGTGTGAGGTTTAGAATCCATGTAAAAGAAACCAGATTTCATAGGGGTCCAAATATCATACGACATCGGAATCCGAGTCAAATCGGACCAGGTTGTTTGTTTAAGAGTGTATTTCGAAACCAATTTTCTTTATATTCTGGTCAAGTACCGGCAATGGAAAACATGACAGAGAGTTTTTTGAGAAGGGTTTTGTAGAAAACAATGATTATTCATTTTGTCGGCAGTGCTTGATATAGGTCCACTCAAAATAGTGATTTTGACCAATTCTGCGGCTAAGTTTTATTTCAAATCTTGCCTTACCGATTGACCAAAACTAAGCTTGACAAATTTCGAAAATAATTCTGCCTTTAGACAACTTCTCCACGGAAATTATTCATTACCTAGCAATTAACAACGAAACTTAATGAATTTTGCAATATTTACGTAAAGCTATATTATCCTGCGCAGGAACACTTATGGCGAGCGTGTTGTTACAGAATAATATTGTCTTGATTAGAGAATATTGACTCATTAAGGCGGCGCGGCGTGCCGCGTGGGCCAAAAAAAGGAGAGGTATTGATTTTGGGACAAAGGTATTAGGGAGGAAGATTTGTTGTTAATAAATAATAGCAACCGGTGTTAGGAACGGGGGTCACGACCTATGGAATGCGAAAAATGCATGTGAAGGATAAGAAATAAGATAACATCTTTTTGATAATGTGAAGTTAAGGTTTATAGTCATTGAATAATTTTGGTTTTGGCAATTTCGTACCAAGTTTCAAGAAAGTTTCACAAAGTACCATGCGCAAGCACAGTGCATGCCGAAAGCTTATGAAAAAAATGTTAACAAAATTACTCGAATTCGACTAAAACCTACGACCAGCATAGTGCTTACAAGCTCAGAGCATCTTATTACGTAGTCATGACGTCACTCAGACATCACCGGCTCAATGCCTTGGCAACTGGCTCATGCATTTCACGACACAAACGAGTTGGCTATGTAGTTGTATATGATTATACTCCGAGTTTCCAAAAGCAGTTCTTATTATAAGTTTTTTTGCCTTCGCAAAGTGAAAAGCTTGCCATAACTCTCGGTAGTGATTATGTTGTTTGACCTAGTTACGACCGTTTAAAGGCATATACATGTACAGCATTATTTGCATTTATCTCAAAACTAGCCTATCGAATTATTATCAAAGAGTTTAATTGGATTAGATATCGTACTGGTGCTAAACAACCCGTGAATTTATTCCATCTGGCTTGCTGTCATTTTTATAGAAGAAAAACTCTCAGTGATTTTTAACGATCAGTCAGTTGACTGCAGATTTTTGGAATAAAAAGTTCTATAGACGAAATCGTGTTTCATGATCAAAACTTTCTGCATGACAGATATCCACTGAGCTGAAAGTTCAACAGGTTAGGTTTTGAACGTTCGTCTTTGGATTTTCTTTGTCTTTTTTATCGTTACAAACGAACAAGAATTCATGAAAAGCATACGATTCTATATCTGGCTTGCTGGAGTTATGTTTCCTAAAAAGTTCTACCTTCGAAAAATACCAACTAGGCTAGGCCTATGGAAAATTTAGGTGAAAAAAATGTGACTATCACAATCATGTCAAGCATGCATATCTTGTTTGTATCAAGAGATCAAGTTACTTTGCAAAAAAAACTTGAACAATTACTGCTAAAAAATGTTTCCGCGATTCTGACGGGAAAAATTGACGACGGCAGACCGCGAAACCGTGGCATAATGTGGCTCCACATAAAAATCCTCTGGAAGGAAGGCTATAGGATTAGTCTAGCATGTCTAGGAATTCGTGATTATAGTTTAGCCGATTATATGAAATCGCCTGCGCTAGACGCAAACACGTTGAGGCTGAGGGCAAAATTGTCCTTGAGAGGATCGTGTGGGATTAGATTAGAATATAACGTTGCTTGTTTGTTGTCAAAATACTGGGCTGTATTCAAAGGGGTGCTTACTTTGCTCTTGAGGGATTAGGAGAAAATATTTGGAGGATTGTTGAGGGAAAAGAGCGCAGTTTACTTATCGTATTTTGCAGTAGATTAGTTTTCCAAGCGTTTTTGTTTGTGTGTATGGTAAGCCATACACGCCATTCAAGTTATGAGGGTATGGGTTTCGAAAACGTGGGTGAAAATGTTGGCTTGTACCGTTCATCATATTCATTTATTTGTTCATCATATTCATTTATTTGTTCATCATATTCATATATTTTTACGATGCATCGTCTGGTATGGTATCCACGACTTTTATCGAATCATTCACAAATGGACAACTTGCGATGACCATCAAAATTCGGAGGAAAATGTTAAACCTTCCTGGTACTCCAAATCAACGTTTCATGCGTTAGATAGGAATGATGTTGAAGATTGACAACTTCGTATACGTTCGTAGTTTGCCAGGTTTTTTTTGGGGGGGGGGGGGGGATTTGGCCTATGAGATCGTTTAATTTAAATGAAGATAAACTGTATGACTCCAAAAAAATCAACACAAATAAATTATTGTAAAGAAATCCGGACAAAGATTTTCGAGAACAGTTTGTCTTTTTTTTTTAACGGAATGCAGTTACATGTTTTATACTTACCGTGGCAGCTCTAGGGTATGTCTCGCTCCTTCGATGCCTCTTCCGTCTATTCGGATTTTTTTTATTGACCTCGTTTCGTATAAGGACGGGAAAAGTCCGAGTCAGATCCGGCCGAGCGGGAGCCGGCGCCTTGTGGTACCGCCACTCCAATGCGTTCCTCGGCGGCTTCCTCTCGCCCACGATCCGCTCTCGGACTCGGGCCAAAGCTTGTTGGTAACTTGTCTCCAACCAACTTGGCTTGATTGTTCCAGGCTTTGGAAGTCTCTCAAATTCTTTCAGAGATACGACGGATGGTAGACGATGGTTTTGGTTCTTGTTTTCATCAACTCTTTCGTCTTCCACGGGTTCCGAGAGTTCTCGGTCTTCGACCGTCTCGGAGGTATTTTCTCCCGGGGCGTCAGCATCCGAGTCCCCCGTTGGAACATCCGCTTGAAGTGGGTCCGGGTACGACACCAAGTGGTTCAGAACCGGGAATGCCATTTTGAAACCGTTCCCAACGCCTTAAATGAACGTTTCAGAACGTTCCCTGACGAATCCTGTTTATTTCCATGTCGAGTTATTCACTAGGAAGATTTTGAAGTCATTTTGGTGACTTGGAACCAGAATTGGAACAAAAATTTCAGCCTACATTTTGGCACTATAGGATAGTCCAGTCGTGCCACATCTAAATCATTCGACAACGCATAAATCATACAGTATCAGTAGCACAATGAAAACTTGTCTATTTTAGCATGGAGCTACACCAGATCTATTGAAGTTTGATCATTACATACCATCAGCGTTATCTTCAAACCAAATCACACCGATCGGCATACCGTAGAACTGTGCAATGTTTACTCTACCATCGATAAAAACAGGTGTTATACACGATCCGATACACGCAGCACTCGATGAACTTTACCCCTTGTTTCTCCGATAACCACCAGTTCCGGGTTCATACGACTCCAGCGTGCACCACCAACCACCCTACCGTCTTCAGCTCGTAATCCACCCGTCAAAACTCTCCAATCGCCTCGGTATTTTTTCCCTCTCCTCGATTGAAAACTAGGTAATCAATCCTCACCCGTGCCGCGATACGACACCGTTCAGCTATTTCAACTCTCCATCTAATTAATTTAAGAACAATAGGCCAACTGTTTCGATCCCTAATTGAAGTTTTACGTGCCGATTTTGTGTCGCACTGTGGGATTTTTGGTGGCCTATTTCGCTTGCTCGTACTCGAATAACATCGACCGGCACTGACGTGAATTTGCACGGAAGTATTGAACCGAAACGCAGCCATAGGCAACGGGGCTGTACCTCAGCATGTGGCGCTGTGGCTCATTGTTACTTTATACTATAGGCTTAATTCTGTCACGCACCATGTTGAGACCTTCTTTTGTCCCAAATGGGGAAGAAATAATGACCCTTTTTGGATGCAGGGGTACACTCACTTTTTTTGTTGGTGGTTGGATAGAAAGTACAATTAGAAATGCCTAATTACTGGCGCACCGTTGGTCTTTTACGGAAGCATGGATTAAGTAGTGCTAGTATGGAGCTTTTTTTTCTAGTGAAAAAAAAAACTAAATTGAAACCGTAATTTACACCATGTTCAAAAAAAAAAATTCGAGAGCATTTTCCAGACTTCTTAATTTTAATCTGATGGAAAGAAATTGTTGAAATTGTTATTTTTCAATGACATATTCTGAGAATAATTTCATTGTTTATAGTGCATTGCTTATTTAGAGAAAAATGCGATGTATTTAGAAACTTGTTAAAGTAATTTTCCGATTTTATTTTCTGCAAAAAGTTGTAAAACAAACTAATCTAAAATAACGGATACATTTTGAGAAACAAAATCGTTATCAGTAGTCATGATGCCAATATTAAATAGGCTAAAGAAAATAATACTTTTATTAAAAACAATTCAATTTTTTTTACTAAAAATGAATCAGCTTTTATGTCAAAAAGTGACATAATCTTGAGAGATCAAGTAGGCCTATAGTATTTTCTTATCCTTTGAACTTTTCCCTTGAAGTTTTCACAATAACAGTTTGTATTTGGAAAAGGGCAACGGGGATGGGCGGGGTTTGTTAAGGGGGAGGGACAGCAAGTTCCAAAACCACCCACTAAGGTTTTTTTCAAATACTCAATCCACCCAATCGATTCAAATTCCATTCTTTACAAAGAAAGTCAATACATGTAGGTCTACATAAGCAGGCACAACACTAAAGTTTGCCCTAGGCATACCCCATGATAGTGCCGAATAGATAACCGATAATAATAAGAGGCTTTATTCGATCGAAAGCCATACAAATAAAACTATATGGATGTCAACTATTGTAGTAGTCATTGCAGCGCATGTGCACTCTATCACTGTTGCCAAGCGACCTCGCAAGCTCCTGAATTGAAGGACGCCCTCTTGTGTTGTTCAGTCACTAAAGGGGCGTTAACACTTTTGGGGGGGGGGGGGAGAAGGGGATAAAAGATTCTCCACTAAAATTGAGGAACTTTTTTGAAATAATTGTATGCATTCCAAACTCTTTTTCATGGTTTGACCTCAAAATCAGACACCAAAATTAATAAATTCACCAAACATTCACCAGAAAAACACACACAGGAAAAAAATTATAAATTATGTGAAGCTGAATGTTTATTTTAAAAACACTTTTCATACTTGACAAAAATCTGGCAAGTTGTTTTCATTTAAATGCATATAGTCTCATGTAAATTTTAGAAACCATAATTTGTTAACATTGCTATTTTAACCTATAATTTTGATACACTCAATTTATGCAACATATCGCCAAAGAAATGTACAAGTACAAATGGTTAAAGTTGATTGCATTATAGACAGGAATGACTTTGAACAATAATCGGTAAAAACATTTTAGGGGGTCATGTAAAATTCATATGAAAACTGAAGATTAAATTTTAAGAATTTTTACAATGTTTAGAGCAAAAAAATGATTAAATAGTATCCCTTAATATTAATTGGTCCCTTTTTCAGACAAGTGAGACTTTTCGTGGACCAAGTTGATCTCAACAGTTTTTAAATTGAATTAAAAAAAATTTAACTGAAATATTTGTATTTGTTCATTTGGGGGGGGGGGGGGGGGGGTGCTTATTCACTGAAGGAGCTATTTGACACATTTTGCGTATATGTTGTCAATAAATGTTCACCTTTAGAATTATTTTTTGATTTTACGAAACATCCTTAGTGGATTACTGGCAGTCTAAAAAGAACAAAACACTTTTATCATCACACAAGACAAAAAAAAATCATCTGTTTAAATAAATTACTATAAAACCGAAATATTTACAATATCATTACAAACGCATTAACTTGTTATACATTTTTTACAAGTGTAAATTTTACTTGTGACAATATTTGATCGATTATTACACAAAATGTGGTGCTTGCTGTAAAACTTGCATGGTATTTTAAACGTTCGTTCTTTTGTAGCATTACAAACTTGTTCTTGTTCTAAAAAATGACAGTATTGCACAAAATACTGTATTTTAATGCTCGCTTGTAGTTTTTCCAATGAAAGATCTTGATATGATAAAAACGCATAAAATATTCGGTGCATATCTTTTAAAATGCCCACTGAAACACAGATATTTTTTCAAAGGCTACAAAATTACCATTTTCTAGTGTTATCTGTGCCAGAATCTACAAATCGTCAGGCTGTTAAATATAATTTTAAATTTTTTGAAACACGAAAAATATACACTGGCTACAGGGCTGAGAAAAATATTGCATATATCTCGCAATTTGTGTAATACTTGCTATGCTTATCCCCTGCTGTGACTTTTGTGCATATACATTTCGGAAAGCACTGATTACGATGTTATTTGTTTTAAATTAATATTTATATATATTTACATAAATATCTGGGCTCTATATTAAACTTATATAGTTTCATTCATTTTGTGACCGATGCAGTTCCTTTACTATCCAAAATGCAGCACTTTGGAAGACGACGCGACAACGCTCTCCCAAATAGTGCAGCGCTGTTTAACCTTGTTCGTCTATCGGTTACCGGCTAATGAGCACCAGCCACGTGTCGCACACTTATCAAGCGAGGGCAGTGTTTCCCCCTCAGAAACTCTTGACGCAGAGTAACTTTGGTCAAGTTGAATGCAAATCTGTTTCAGTTCCATCCGGATCAAGCGAGGGCGGTATTTCCCTTCGGCACTCTGACACGGAGTAACTTTTGGCCGACTTCATTCCAAATTGGTTAAAGTTCCATCTGGATCAAGCGAGGGCGGTATTTCCCTTGGCCGCTCTGACACAGAGCAACTTTTGGCCCACTGCATTCCAAATTGGTTCAAGTTCCATCCGGATCAAGCGAGGGCGGTATTTCCCTTAGCCACTCTGACACAGAGTAACTTTTGGCCGACTGCATTCCAAATTGGTTCAAGTTCCATTCGGATCAAGCGAGGGGGGTATTTCCCTCGGCCACTTGGACACAGAGTAACCTTTGACCCACTGCAATCCAAATTGGTTCCAGTTCCATCCAAATCAAGCGAGTTCGCCCTTTCCCCCGGACAATCTGGCACATGAACTTTTGGCCATGTTTGCCCGAAACAGCTCCACTTCCAACCAGAGCGTTCCAGTACTTGTAACAGCTGAACAAACCTTGGAGTGAAGTTGTTTGAGTTTTTTGGGGGGGACTTGGCAGCACACGTATGGATCGTTTCAGTTCGTCTTTGCGTTGATGATCCATTCCGCGTTGGGATTCACTTTTAGCAACGCTTGCATGTTGGTGTCGGGGTCTAAACATCTCTGCCCTGAATCAAGACAAAAGAAAAATCACAAAACGGATTGAGTAAACTTGTCAATAAATTATTTACTCGCACCTAGAACTTCAAAGAAAAAAACCTTCTTAATGAGTAGAGTTGACAAGTAAGACTAGGCAAGATTTAGTAAAGCTGGTCCCAGAGTGCACAAAATTATATTCAATTGTTTCCAAACCGCTATTCACTGAAAGTCCTTCCATGCTTCTGGCCTACATTTGCGCATTCGTTGGCGTTTCGGGTTAATCCTCAGTGTTGTACTACTCGTACTCGGTACTCGTAATCGAGTACTACTCGAGTAGTACAGTGGAATGTCGCTATAGCGAACGCTGCTATACCGAACATTCGGCTATACCGAACTACGTCCTTGGCTCCTGATTTTTTTGTAGAAAAACCAACCGAACGTTGTTTGTGAAATATGTCAACAGAAGAGGGACAAGAGGCTAGTATTTAGAAGGGGAATGCCACCCATCGATGTAGGTAGTAAGCGCAAAACTGTGTAATTATATAGTCCAATAGCCGGCACGTGTTCGCAGTCGTCTTTCAGTAACTACCAGGGCGTGCAGGGTGAAGCTACATGTATGAAGGGCGCTGTTTATTGAAAAGTGAGTACTGGAGCACCGGCAGCTTAAAATCGCTATACCGAACGATCGCTATTACGAACATTTTCTGTGGATCCCACGATGTTTGTTATAGCGGCGTTCCACTGAACTGATACTCGTACTTGGGGACCTGTTCTTGTTCTCGGAAGTACAAGTACTCGTTCTCGTACTCGTACTCGGCAACCTAAGTACTCGGCAGTACTCGGTACTTGGAAAAAAGTACTCGACTACAACACTGGTAATCCTATACAATAGCACTGCCCGGCTCTCTTCACCAACCTACAGCCAGTCTAAGTCGTAAGTGACAGTCAGACAGTGAGATAGGTACAAATAGGGAACCAGGCTGGCTTTCTGGGACCAGCAACCTAAGTACTCAGCAGTACTCGGTACTTGGCAAAAAATACTCGACTACAACACTGGTAATCCTATACGATAGCACTGCCCGGCTCTATTCAATAGCCTACAGCCAGTCCGAGTCGTAAGTGACAGTCAGACAGTGAGATAGGTACAAATAGGGAACCAGGCTGGCCATCTGGAACCATCAATCAAAAGTCCGGTGAAGCAAAGGAATCTCAACTCACCTATATTACCGCCGACTTCGTACAGGAAGTATCTCGTTCTGTTGGGTGCTAGCTGTGACATCAGACCTGATGTATCGCCGTTTCTGTTTAACAGACGAAAAAAGAAATTCAATTGATTGAAATGACACTGGCAGTCCTTTTTATGTCCAGAATTTTACCAACAGACCTTCATGCTGCCACCATTACAGTCATGTTCCCTGTATCCAACAACAGTACTGAATAATTAATGTTTTATGTGCAAACAGGAACCAGACTATTTTTCCTTCCGGCCTCGATTTGGTTACGTTGATTTGAATGGGAAACAAAATCAAGATGGCGGCAATATGATAATGGTCTGTGAAGAACAGCCCATAGTCGGCACGAAAGTGAATGCAAACATGAGCTTGTGATGTCACGTCAAGAGTGCACTCTGCGAATGTGCAAAAGTGGAACACATTTCAACTCTGGAGAATTTTGCAGCGAACGTTTCACGGCGTCAGATTCGCTTAGTATTTGCATGAAGTTACATAAAATTGAAAAAAAAACTATAATTGTTGTCATTGCTAGCTAGTGCAGAATTAGCGGTGACCTGTGACATGGGGTCATGGAGTTGGTAGAAGAAAATAAAAAGTGTTCAGCAAAGTTATGTGCTAAGCGAAAATCAATCAAAACAAATAAAGTTTAAGTAATATTTCAAATGAGTGCTTAGCATATTAAATTTCTTTCTTCCTTTATTTCTTTATTATAAACAATAAATAATGGAGTGCCGTGGCCTCGTGGTTAAGGGCATTGGATTCGTGGTCTGTGGGTAATTCTGCGGGTTGTGGGTTCGAGTCCAGCCTGGGGTTACGGTGCGTGTGCCCTTCGGCAAGGCACTTTGTCACTCATTGCTTCTCCCCACCTAGGAGTAAATGGGTACCTGTGAGGGTAGAGATGGTAACTGTGATTGAATTAGCTTCCTTGCGCCTAACAGGCAGCATCAATCTGTATACTCCCCAGGGAGCTGAGATGGTATTTGGAATGTTTAATTGGCCCAATGATCAGGGGTAATAATGACACCGTAAGCGCTGTGATTACGTTTACTAATAAGAGCGTTCTTAAATGCCGATTATTATTATAATATTAAATAAATTCCAACCCACCTCTCGAACGCTTTCCTCCTACTTCTTCGTCGGCTGTTCGTTCTTTTGAACGGCGTCTCGGGCACGGGGTGGACGACGTGCTGCGTGAAGTGCGACACGATGTCGCCCGCCGTCATGGTCTCGTGGAGTCGTACCGTGTTGGAGATCTTCTCGTTGCCCGGCATTTGGATGCGGATGACGCCTTCCTGCGCGTCAAACTAATAAGTAAGAAATGAACCCAAAAAAATGTCAGGGCTGTGTAACCCATGGAACTTTACAGGAAAAATGTACTTTTGGCTTGCAATGCAATTAGTTAGGAACATGAAATCTTGAAATAATAATAATATAATACTGAAGTCTTATATAGCGCACGTATCTACCGACAATTAGGTACTCAAGGCGCTGGTAATAATGTTTCTTATTAAAGACAGGTAAATGAAGTTAATGAGAAATGTGTGGGTTCTTTAACGTGCATCACACAACACACGGGACGGACGGCTTTACGTCCCATCCGAAGGATGAAGCAATAATGGTAAAGTGCCTTGCTCAAGAGCACAAGCACCATGTTCCCACGGTCTGGATTCGAACCCATGTACCACGGCACACGAGTCGAACACCTTCACCATTGCACCGCAGCACCCCACTAATGTGAATGTTTTGAGTTTGAACATTTTGGCCGAAGTAATTTTGCGCAGTCATTCAACAATTTTGTCTCTTACCTCAGCTGCTGAGCTCTTTCGGTCCTTTTTCTTGAAAAGCGTCATAACCTGAGAAAACAACACACATGCAATTAATTTACAAAAAAAAACACGTCTTTTCAAAACACACTTATCTCTTTGACTCCATACTATAATACCCGATACAAGACTGTATTTGAGGGACTTGTCCAGTATGTAGCATTGGGAAAATGGCGGAAAAGGATCTGTTCTTTATTAAATGACGAATACAGTAGTGTCATAGAAACTGTTTTAACATGAACCTATTGGTAACATGAAAAAAAAAAGCCTTTTCTTTACGAGAATATTTGTGAAACAGACAAAGGAAATAGTTCTGTTTTGAAAACATCTGTTTTTTCCCCATGAAAGTGGTCAAAATATTGTTTACAAGAAATTTGAGGGGAAAGAAACAATTGCTTTGTTAAACTCACCGATTTTGAATCTTTGGTCTTTTTGGTTTCAACCTCGCACATCCGCCTGATTTGTTCCGTCATACGGAATGGGACCTGCAAAGGAGGAACAAAAAGTTGCAAGAATAAACATTTTGCATGAAGAAATGTTTAAAATTAGTTGCGATTGACGCGCGACTGACTTGTGATTGACTTGTGATGGTTTGTGATTGACTTGTGATTGGCTTGTGACTGACTTGTAATTTTACTTGGGATTGATTTGTGACTGACTTGGGATTGACTTGTGATGGTCTGTGATTGACTGGTGATTGACTTGTGATTGACTGGTGATTGACTGGTGATTGACTTGTGATTGACTTGTGATTGACTTGTGATTGACTTGTGATTAACTAGTGATGTTTGTGATTGACCTGTGATGGTTTGTGACTGACTTGTGACCAACTTGTGACTGACTTGTGATTGACTTGGGATTGATTTGTGACTGACTTGTCATTAACTTGTGATGGACTTGTTGTGATAAACTTGTGATGGTTTGTGATTGACTTGTGATTGACTTGTGACTGACTTGTGATAAACTTGTGATTGACTTGAGATTGATTTGCAGCCTGACTTCTTGTGATTAACTTGCGACCTGAGGTGTATTTCCCTCATGGTTTGGGATTGACTTGTGATGGTTTGTGATTGACTTGTGATTGACTTGTGACTGACTTCTTGTGATTGAATTGCAACCTGAGGTGTATTTCCCTCATGGTTTGGGATTGACTTGTGATGGTTTGTGCTTGACTTGTGACTGACTTGTGATAAACTTGTGATTGACTTGAGATTGATTTGCAGCCTGACTTCTCGTGATTGACTTACGACCTGAGGGGCATTTCCCTCACGGTTTGAATTTCTATCGGACTTGACTTCAACTTGGCAGCATAGGGGTTAAATGACCCCAAAACGGACCCTAGTAGGGGGCGGGACGGAATCAGGATTAACCCAGCATGAGCTGACAGAAAACAGCAGGATTAATCTGACCAGAAAGGGAAGGGTGCGGGGTCGGATTTAATTTTCCTTCAAGCTAAACCCCTGAACGGATACTTGGCTTCCAAATGCTGACCGACTGTTTAATATATCTCTGATATTTAAAGTTTCAGTGTAAATCCCCCGAGAGTTTAAGCAAGCTACTTTGTTCACAGATAAATAACAAACTCAACTGCTTTGCACAAGAGTAGGTTAGCCTAGTAAGGGGGGTCGGAGATTGCGCAAAATTCTAGTCAATTGATTCCGAATGGCTATTCACTGGAAGTCTTTTCATGCATTTGGTCTAAACATTGAGGCGAATTTAGCCCGATTCGTTGGCGTTATGGGGTAATCCTATCAGACAGCACTGCCCGGCTCACATGTAACAGTCAGTCAGTCAGTCAACAGTGTCTTAGGACACCAGACCAAGATGGTTGTTGTCTGTGTTTGAATTAAAGTACTGAAGGATTTCTGACTACTTCTGTGGCTACTGACTTTGGTGCACACCATTGACAAAAACAGCTACAGCCAAAAATTTAGTCAGGATACCAGACCAAGATGGCTGCTGCTTGTGGTTCTCTAAAGTCCTAAAAGGTTTCTGACTATGACTGTGGCTACTGACCTTGGAGCACGCCAATAACAAAAACAGCCACAGCCAGAAAGTGAGTCAGGATACCAGACCAAGATGGCTGCTTAAGGGTTTCTGTCTTGGCTGTGGCTGTTGACTTTGGATGAGTAAGGATACTAGACCAAGATGGCTGCAGCCGATGATTCTCTTAATTCCTTATGAATTTCTGACTATGGCTACGTGGCTACTGACTTTTGCACACACCAATGACAAAAACAGCCCCAGCCCAAAAATGAGTCAGGATACCAGACCAAGATGGCTGCTTAAGGGTTTCTGTCTTGGCTGTGGCTGTTGACTTTGGATGAGTAAGGATACTAGACCAAGATGGCTGCAGCCGATGATTCTCTTAATTCCTTATGAATTTCTGACTATGGCTACGTGGCTACTGACTTTTGCACACACCAATGACAAAAACAGCCCCAGCCCAAAAATGAGTCAGGATACCAGACCAAGATGGCTGCCATTCTGGACCGAGGCTATGGCTAACGACTTCAGCACACCAATGACCAAATAGCCACAGCCACAGACTAAAATAAATTTTCCGGTTCTACTCACCACCCATAGGATGTTGTGGTACTTGACCAGCATACGCATGACGTTGCACGTGCCCGCCGCAAACTGCAGCTCGGCGTAGTCGGGCGACTTTTTCCGCGTGGCCTGCGCCGTGAAGAGATTCGGGGCCATGATCATGGCGATGTTGTTCAGCGACATCTTGTTCTTGGCTTCGTGGTCCACCACCTTGCCCAGAAATTTCAGTAACAACTGGAAAATTGGAAGAAAAATAAATGAACAGGATTTAAAGATTTGTTCATGCTAGTAGGAAAACTGGATTTGAGGATGCAAGTTTTGAAGTTGCATGCATGAGAACTAAACACCGCACAAACAGAAAGTCCACACTCATTGGAGGGGTCATAATTTTGAATCTGATCATCTTATGATAACGTCATTGATATAGACCTTTGGGGAATTTTGTTAGCTTCATATTGATACCCCGTTTGCTACCAAAGACTGTAAATCGTCCAAGATTGACAACGGTTTATGAAAAATTATGCAGTTGGTAAAGTTGCAAATTTAAACGATTACGCAAGGAGAAATTGCTAAGCGTTACCACACATGGCCGTAATTGGCCCCTATCAATTGCACAGTGCCGAAAAAAGTGCAGGTCATTCGAAATAGCCCACGTGCATACAAGCATACAAGCACTGCGCAATCGATATTCCCTGGCGTTCGTTTCGGTCAGTGTAACATTGTCACGCTGCAATTTCCACTTGTGTACTCTTTAAAATTTGCAACTTTTCAAACTGCATCATGTTTCATAAACCGTTGTCAATCTTGGACGATTTACAGTCTTTGGTAGCAAACGGGTATCAAAATGTAGCTAACAACATTCCCCATAGGTCCATATAAATGACGTCATCCTAAGACGATCAGATTCAAACTTATGACCCAATGAGTCCAGACTTTTTCTTTTTTGCGGTGTTCAGTTCTGGTTTACTTCTCATTTCATTCTCTGCAGAATCCAGACGCAAAATACACATCATCATGCACAAGCAACACGCCCAAATTTGTCTATTATTAAGACACCCCATCCTATTACAGAGTCTTGACGTGTCCCATTAACTTGCACGCACTGATAAGAAATGGCGGTGAAGTTCACGCAAGGGTTAGGATTTAAGCGGCAATTCCGACACATCCTCAAACGCCCTGATAAAAAAAATTCTGTTTAGGTCTTAGCCTTTCTCTTTCACAGAAATTAAATGGGTACTGATCACATAATGGAAGTCTCTGCGTGTATTTTTAAACACTTTTTTTTTTTTTCAACTTCCTTCCCGGGAACTGACTAATTGGAAAACTCCGGCTGGTTTTGAAATGTTAAGCGGATCAGGAAAGATGGGGATTTTTGTGTTTGTGGGTGGTTAATGTGTTTGGAGGTTAACTGAGCTTAACGTCCGTTAAAAGTCTTTTGAGAGTTGAAAGTTTATCAAAAAAATTCAGCTACTAAGGCGGCGAAAAAAAATTGAAATATTTCACCTCAATTCAAAACAGATCTGACATGTTTCTTAAACCTGTTCTTAAAGAACTTGCAACCGAATTATGAATCGACTTAGGTTTAACAGTGCAAAATGCTTGCAAATCTGACACAAAAACTGCAAGGAATCAAAAGCATTGTGTCTTTAGGCAAGACACTTTACCGCAACCAATTCTCAACATCACGCATTTCTGAAATCCAAAAATAACCCACAGATCCTGAACAACTTAGGGTATGCTTTGGCGTGGCAGTGAATAGTGTTCCCATATCTCGCATCAACTGGGCTAAAAAAAACTTGTGTCCTCGGGCAAGATGCTTTACCACAACCGCTTCTCAACACCAAGGAACCTTTGTGCGTGTGACCTTCACGCATTTGCGAAAGCGAAAAATAGCCCGAAGGTCCCAAACAACACCGGCTTTCATGCGGCAAATCAAATGTTAAACAAGCATGAGGTTGTGATTTCCCTTCGGCTAAGTTTCGCAACGGGTCGGAGCAAGCGTGTACCGGGGAAAACCGAGTCCGTGAACCTACGCCCTTTTCCAAATTTGAGGGAGGGGTTGTTACTGAGGGGTATAACCGGCTTACCTTCAGGGTAGCTCTGTGGATGTCGGGGAGGACCAAGATTAAGAGGTTGAGACACTGGAGCTGCTTCTTGCGATCTTGGATTTCTGTTTGGAGACGGATATAAGCAGTTTTCTTGGTTATTTTGGGCAACGATCTTCTTAAGGATGTGACGTTTACACGTTTAAGTGAAAACAATTCTTAACCTGTTTATCAAAAATGAAATCTGAATTATCAAAAAGGACCTACGTTCACCGTTCACGCAGTCTTCCTTGAGTTAAACCTGCATAGCACAACTAATTAACAATCTTCTACCGGTATCTTCCCGTTCTGTCTTTTAAATCCCATCTAAATCCAATTCTTAATCTAGTCCAATCTCCTCAATCTAGCTTCTTAATCCTAATTTCTTAATCCTATCTTCTAAATCCTATCTGCTCAATCCATATTCTAAATCAAACGTTCTATAAAATCCTATCTTTTTATTTTCATCATCTAAATCCTGTCTTCTAATTTTCATCTACTTAATCCTATTTTGTTAATCCTATTTCATTAATTTTTTTATTTTCATTTTTTATTTTCATCATCTAAATCCTGTCTTCTAATTCTCATCTACTTAATACTACATGTATTTTGTTAATCCTATTTCCTTAATCCAATCTTCCAAATCACATCATCTAAATCTAATCATCTAAATCCTATCTTCTCAATCCTATTATCTAAATCTTCTTTCTAAATCCTAAAATGTCTTACTGTATCCTATTTTATAAATAAAATCTTCTAACCATAAATCATGAATACGCTCTTGATAACTGTATCTTCTAAATTCAATCATCTCAGTCGTATCTTCCAAATCTTACCTTCAAAACCATCTTTCTTAATCCTAAATCTGTCTATATCCTGCCTTAGGAATCCAATCTTTCTCAACTAAATCTTGCACGCTTTATCTTCTGAATTCTATCTTCTAAACTCAAATCATCTAAATGCCATCCTATCCTCCGAACGTCAGGTCGGGCAGCTCGTCAAGTTTAATGACTTTCGACAGGTCGTAAACCGATACCCGTATCACAAAAACAGAGAACTTGAGACCAGGCATTTCAAGCCCTTTCTGAGATCCGTGGTCAGTTCCGGCCATTTTTCCGAGCCGGAAGCAATCCATCTCCCTACGAAATCCAGATCCTTACTGATACATCCTGGAGATAACGGCCGCATCTGACCTTGATAACGAGCAACAGGTGTTGCAAGAACTCTTCAAGGCATATAGGATCATTTGCATTTATCCCAAAAGTAATCCGCTACCGAATTATTATCACAAAAGCTAACTTGGATTCAAGATCGTATGCTGGTACTAAACGCCCTGTGAAAATTATTCCGTCTGGCTGGTTGTCGTTTAGAGGAAATCAAGAAATGTAGGCCCAGGTGATTTCCAATGATCAGTCAATTGACTGATTTTTGGAAAAAAAAAAGTCATACAGGCATGCAACTGGGAATTTAGAAAAAAAAACGAGGAAATTCTAAACCACACAAGACTTTGTACAGTGTTTTTCAATTTTGTAATGGCATTCATTCATTCATTCTAGTAAAAAAAAAACAAGGAAATCAGCGGATCCGAGGAAAAGTTGCAGGCCTGGTTATAATGACGAAATCGTGTTCCGTGACCAAATGGTTATGCATGGTTTTTCACTGGTTTTTTGAAAAGTGCATATCCACTGAGCTGAAACTTCAACAGGTTAGGTTTTGAACCTTCTTCTTTGGATTTTGAGTGGTGTTATTTATTGGGAACAAACAAAATGCGTGAAAAGCAAATGCTTGTAGGTAACAAAACTTTGGGCCAAAACAAAAAATGCCTATCGGCGCTAAGGCCAAAAAAAAAATAAGTCGGTCTCTGGTCAGCGCGCGCGTCGATTTTAAGCATGCGCGTCGATCTTTTTTTTTTCCAAAATGTTCCGCGGTAGCTCCAACAGCGCCCTCTATTTCCGCACCTCCTCATTTTTTTTTTTACCAAAGAGTACCAAGGAATGGGAAATTGCACCAAGGCAAATGATCGAAAGCACCAAGGCAAATTATGGAGGACACCAATGTACATGAGGACACCAAAAAAGCAAAATAGTACCACACCTTGTCTGTACAATCCAAGCTTGAAGAAAAAAAAAAAAAAAAAAAAAAAAAAAAAAGCCGCGTGGCCGCGTCAATACTGGAACTTTGGTCTGACCAGAGACCGAATATTTTTTTTTTTTGGCCTAACAGCCAGCATTTTAAACCCATGAAGTCTCTGTACTGCCCTAAACTGCCCAGTCTGTTATTCCCTGCACTGCCCCAAATTGCCCCAGCACAGGTACATGTAATAACTGCAATGTAATACAATGTAATGTAGTATAAAGACAAAGTAGTGGGTGAGGCGAAGCCTCGTTCATATTGAATGTACATGCAAATGGAGAGAGCCCTCTATCGGTTGCGAAACAAGGAGAGCGAGGGACTTACTTTCCACCATGGCGAAGGCGTTGATGTAGTCCAGGGTCAGGATGGGCGTCGGCAGGTCGCGCAGGAACTGCTTGAGGAGACCCACGATGTCGTTGATGCGTAAATCTTCAAACTTGAATTTGCCCTCGTAGAACAGGCTCTCGATTTCCTCACGGAGTTGCTGTGCGGAGAGACAAGGCAGAGAGGAACAACTCAATTTATTCATCAAGTTTTGATGGGGTCGTACTGAGAATTGTTTGGGTGGCTTGAAGGAGAATTGATTGATGCCTCAGGTTGTTGCATTCAGGAAGACGCAGAGTTGCATTAAAGACATCACAAGTCATCACACGTCATCACAGGTCATCAGAAGTCATCACAAGTCATCACTTGTCACAAGTCATCACTTGTCACAAGTCATCACAAGTCATCACAAATCGTCACAAGCCATCACAAGCCATCACAAGTCATCACAAGTCATCAACAATCAAAAGTCATCACAAGTCATCACAAGTCAATCACAAGTCATCACAAGTCACAAGTCATCACAAGTCATCACAAGTCATCACAAGTCATCACAAGCCATCACAAGTCATCACAAGTCATCACAAGTAGTCACAAGTCGTCAAAAGTCATCACAAGTCATCGCAAGTCATCGCAAGCCATCACAAGCCATCACAAGTCAATCACAAGTCATAACAAATCACAAGTCATCACAAGTCATCACAAGTCATCACATGTCATCACAAGTCCACCACAAATCATCACAAGTCATCACAAGTCATAACAAGTCATCATTTCTGCATCATCCACACATTTCCATTGCTTTTGCACAGGCTCGTGCATTCTTCAAAAATATTTTCCACCGCAACGTAAAAATTGGCCTTCGAGAGACCAAATGGAAACGTTTATATCTGATCTAACGACAGATGTTTAACTTGTAACTATCTCACAGCCTAAATCACGATATCCTGTCGTGTAACAAACTCCCGGTGCACAACAGCAGTAGTGTCAATATTAATTTGTATTGCTAATACCCCCGAGCCTCATGTGGGCCAATGTGCGTCCAAAACAGGAACGTCTTTAATTAATTGTTCGCACTCAGGGAAGCGAAACGAGGATCTATGTCCAATGACTTGATAATGGGGGGGGGGGGGGAGGGGGATTAGAAAGAGTTGAGTTCTGAAGAGCTGGTTCAAATATGAAATTACCGAAAAACACAAACAATTTTGGCTAAGAAGAAGTAGGTTACATGTCTAACTCCACGGCGGTCTTGCCTGACAATTTATGCGTTTCCCTTGACAAATTCCATGATGAAATCCATGAATTCCAAGAAATCCATCATGTTTGCCAGGACGTTTTTTTTTACTGGCAATTTGACTGTCTTTTTTACTCCGTTTGAAGCATCTTGAAAACCCTGCCTTTTATTATTTCACTACAAATTTCAGAATTTTACTAATGATGTAAACAACTTTAATGATCTCCAAGACCCAAGACAGACCAACTTAAATACATTTTATACCTTCACTAACCTCAGATCCGGAACTCTCAAAAGACCTCCAAATTGGGTCAAAGAAAGACTAACTCCATTTGAAGCATGTTAAAAACCCTGACTTTTATTATTTCACATAGTTCAGAACTTTACTAATGATGTAAACAACTTTAATGATCTCCAAGACCTTGGCATTTTGATTATCGTCGAATCCGGAACTCTTAAAATGCTACAACTTCCATCAAATAAAGGCTCCTAACTGCGTAAATATCTGGGATTGTGGACTTTTTCTTTTATCCAAGCATTTGCTACAATTTCCTTCAAATCAAGGCTCCTAACTACGTAAACATCCGGATTTGGGAACTTTTCTTTTAAGCAAGCATTTTTTGTACAGGGTGAGTCAAAAAAAGCGGAACCCAAATCCCCAAAAAATATATTTCATTTTAAAAAAAATAGGTAGCACCAAACATAATAATGACTGGAAAGCCAATTTCATAAGCTACTTTTAGATAAAAAAAATTACTGAAATTGCTCAATCCGTTCAAAGAATATCACCATTTAGCGCAATGACCCTGAAACCTGTTTCGTCAAAAAAAAAAGCAGTTTATTGCGTATTCTGATTGTTTGGAACAACAAAGAAAATGACACAGAATACTTGTTTCAACAACTGTCAATAACTGTAGTACACAATATCTTTATAAACAACCCTGGTTAGGGAAACAATTTGATTTATAAAATCCACGTTTTTAAAAGACAGGCCTTCAAAAAGACTTTGTTGAATATTTTTTTACTTTTAAACTGCGGTTTTATCGCTGGTGATGTTTGAAGACAATTGTGACGAAGATTCTTGAAATCGCATTTTTGGACGAAAGAGGTTTTAGGTTCATTGCGATTAAATGTTGATATTCTTTAATAGGGCGATTTCAAAAAAAATTTCATCTAAAAGCAGCTGATGAAATTGGCTTTCCAGTCATTATTATGTTTGGTGCTACATATTTTTTTAATGTGAAATATAATATTTGGGGTTTGGGTTCCGCTTTTTTTGACTCACCCTGTATGCATCCTAATGATCCCAAGGATCTTGCAAGTGCAGAGTTTCAGGGAATTTGTTTACCTTAATTCTGCCCGTCGAGCCCGGAACTCTCAAAACGCCTTCTTCGTCAAGCCCGTTCTCTTCCAAGTAACTAATGATCTGTTGGAAAAAATACAAGAAAGTTTATAAGTTTTCATCCAACAAAAAATACAGATAGAACACTAGCATACACAAGGGTAACATAACTAAGCATATGCAGTTGGAAGGCCTAAAAAAAAATGTGTGCATTCACGGTAAACGACCTAACTGGAATTGTTTAGGCCAACTTTCCGACCTCAAAGCTTCTTATTGCCACATTTGGCCAAATATCTGAAATAAAGTATATGTTGACAACAGAAAAATGTTCGCTTTGCACATTTGTTTGTTTGAGTTATTGGCTAATTAAACAATTAAACAGGTTAATTAAACAGAATACGGTCAAAGGGACCCGAAGTAAACAAAGTAAGTATAAAAGACGAACGGGCAAATGCACACAAAAGTTACAAAATAATATTTTTTCCTTCCTATGTACCTACCTGGAAAATTTTAGGGCATTCCCGTAAACACACAATTTTTTTTTCTTCTCAGCCTAAGGCAAAAGATTTTCAAATGCACCATATCCGTTTTTTATTTCAGAAAAATCCTATGTGAATTCTGTTTCAACCATAACAAATCGTTACAAAAATATCTGTTTCCAGCTTGTTGGGTGTAAAATTAGAAATTAATTCAAAACGACAACTCCTAATAGCTCTGCATTATGCTTGCAACTGGAAAAAAAAGGTGTTTTTTTTTTTTTTTTTTTTTAAAGTTTTTTTGCTTTTTTGTATACACTCTTTTAAAGTGTTATCTCGAAAAACTGAAATTTATTTTAAGAAAAAAGTACAATTTGGTTCATTCTGTTCCATGTTTCCCATCAGTTAAACAAATGTTTGCTCGATGTTCTGACTGTAAACTCAACTTGAGTTACAGTTTTGCTGTAAGCAACATTTAAGGGCAAACTTCAGTCATAATATCAAATTTACATACATACATAATAATTATTTGTGAATATTCATGAAGTTCTAAGCTTCCAACCTTTTGTAACACCTACGATGTATCTGTATTTGGTCTCACTTAAAGGCAAAATTAAGTTATACAAAATTTACAAACATGCATATTAATTATTTGTGAATATTTATGAAGTTCCAAGCTTCTGACCTTTTGTATCGCCTGTGATGGGTCTGTATTTGGTCTCACTTAAAGGCAAAATGAAGTTATACAAATTTTACATGCATGCATATTAATTATTTGCGTATATTCATGAAGTTCTAAGCCTCTTACTTTTTGTAATACCAGCGGCGTGTCTGTGTCCGGCCTCCATAGTCTGTCGTTCTCTACAAGCGTTGTGAGCGGGACGCCAAAGATTCCAGAGTCTATAACGAATATGTGAAACAGAATATATTGTGTTTTGTAAGAAACACAGACTAGGCTTACATAGTTGAACTGGACCTGAGAAACATAGTTAAGGCCAAATAAAATATATATTCGGTCTCTGGTCAGACCAAAGTTCCAGAATTGACGCGGCCACGCGGCTTTTTTTTTTTTTTTCTTTCTTCAAGCTTGGATTGTACAGACAAGGGGGGTACTATTTTGCCTTTTTTGGTCCTCATGTACATTGGTGTCCTCCATATTTTGCCTTGGTGCTTTCGATCATTTGCCTTGGTGCAATTTCCCATTCCTTGGTGCTCTTTGTTAAAAAAAAATTGAGGAGGTGTGGAAATAGAGGGCGCTGTTGGAGCTTCCGCGGAACATTTTGGAAAAAAAAAGATTGACGCGCATGATTAAAATCGACGCTCGCGCTGACCAGAGACCGACTTATTTTTTTTGGGGGCCTAACAACACTTTTATACTCGGTGACTCAGTCAGGCAGACAGGGGGGGGGGGGGGGGGGGAGGGGGGAGTCGGGGAGTAGGGGAGTTGGGGAGTCAGTCAGTCAGTCAGTCAATCAGTTAGTCCATCAGTTAGTCAGAGGACAAAAGGCTGGCTCTTCGATTCAAGCAAAATTTGTTTCCCAAAAATGCAGAACCCCACCTTTGTATTTCTTTCGACTGGACTTGCGGACCGGCTGGAAGGACAGGCCAAGCCGATCAAACATGGCCGTCAGCTCAATCAGGGCGATCTGCCGGACGCGGTCGATGTCTTTAGGGGAGAGGAAATGGACTGGGGTGATGCCCAGCTTGTCCCTGGCAATGGTGATATTCTGCAGGACAAAAGGAAGGAAAAAACTCTCAAATTGACAAAGAAATTAACTGAAGCGGGGTTTGAACCTGCGACCTCTGGATTACCGTTCCGGTGCTCTACCAACTGAGCTATCCAGCCCTATGTTGGCGGCTCCCCATTTTGTCAATGTCTTTGTTCAAGGGGCGCTAGTCAGAAGCCACAAGTCCGTAAATGCCACGTAGGCAGGGATCACGCCTAAAGCCAGAATGCTAGCAACATTAGCAATGCTGCAAACCGGGGAAATAGCAAACGGGGATCACTCAGAGAGGAAACAGCTTTTTATTACAAATTTTCAAATAAATCCCACTCACAAGAAGGTCCAAATTCAAAAGAAAGGTTAGTTTCAAGTAAAGACACAAACTGGTCACAACATAATCACAAGTCGATCACAAGACAATCACAAGACAATCACAAGTCAGTCACAAGTCCATCACAAGACAATTATAAGTCAGTCACAAGTCAGTCACAAGTCAATCACAAGTCAATCACAAGACAATCACGAGTCAATCACAAGTCAATCACAAGTCAATCACAAGTCAGTCACAAGTCAATCACAAGTCAGTCACAAGTCAATCACAAGTCAGACCCGAGTCAATCACAAGTCAATCCCAAGTCAGTCAAAAGTCAATCACAAGACAATCACAAGTTAATAAAAAGTCAATCTCAAGTCAGTCACAAGTCAATCACAAGACAATCACAAGTCAGTTACAAGTTAATCACAAGACAAATCAAAGGTCAGTCACAAGTCAATCATGAGTAAAATCACAATTACAATTACACATCATAGCACAAGTCATACATTTGTATCATTAAGCAATCACATCTCTATTTACATGTACAGTATGCACAAAAAAAAAAATTCTGTCAAATACTTGGTAAATTATATCAAGTCAATACGATCTACCCGTACAATTAATATTAAACAAGTAAAGAATAATTTCATTCTGGTTTATAAATTGCTACAGTCAACACAACTTTCAAAAAACAAATTGTGTCGACCGTAGTGTACAGTGTATGTGCCCGAGGAAAAACAGAGCACAACACTGACACATTTACGCAAGCACGTGCACCGAACATCCCCCCGCGACAATTGAAAGTTTCCCTTGAAAATGCAACAACATCCGATATAAACCCACTACGTCATAATCCGTCCCTTAAAAAAAAAAGAATCCCGCAAAACCACATTATCCCATCCCCCCTCCCCCCTTGCCCCATTAACTCCACCTCCTCTTCTATTGCCGTGACAACCACCTCGTCCCCAGGGACCCAAGGTTATGTTATCCTCAGCATATGCAACTTTTTCCTTACTGTAAAAAAAAAGAAAAAAAAAAATGACCGCAATTTGCATCCTGCTTTCAACGGAGTACCGCCGGTAATTCATGAATTCCGCGTCCCACTTGAGCAAAATCCATGCCCATATTTGGGGAGTTCCTGGGCTGCATTGTCGGGTTGGGGGGGGGGGGGAGTAAGGGGAGGGGGGTAAGGGGGGCTGGAGGAAGGAGAATGAGTCAAAGGCGACAGAGCATGAATGCGGTAGTAAATTGCAAGATCAACACGAAGCTAATGAACGTTCTCCTGCTTTGGTTCTATAAGATTTTTGTACTTGGCGCCCCTACAGAGTGAGTAAAAAAAACGAAACCCAAATGTCGGGACCATTGTTTAAGTGAAGTTCTGCATGTAGCACTTTCAAAATCTAGGATATGAAAGCCCAATTCATAAGCTTTCTTTTAGTACAAGAATCATTCAAATCTGTCATGTGATTTTCAAGTTATGGTATTTTAAACACAACCACCGTTTTCAGGTTCTGTCCACGGATCACAAAACGGTTCAGTGTCCTTTCAGCAAAACAACAACAAATCACATAGGGATGTGTGTGAATTGTTTTCATTTTTCCCGTCCTACTTCAAAGCTTGCTCTATCACTTCTCTTCACGTCTTTAAACAAGATTTTGTTTCTTATTACTGTCGGCCCTTCAATTCGGAACAAAGTTCACAGAGCTTCGATGCAATTAATTGTGATTGTCTGTCCACAAAGCTGACAGTATATTTGGGAATAAAACATGGTAAGGGGGCAACTGTGCTTTGAAAAACAAATGAGAAACAAATTTTCCTTCCATTTTTGACTCACTGGAAATGGAGCCTTCTTTTTAGTTCAAAACAAAACCACTTTGTTTATTTAAACTTTGTCTGTTCCTTCCTGTGGGATATGTTTTAAATAAAGTCACCCTCTGTTTTTTTATTTTCATCTTCAGACTGTCTCTACCTTCCCGACAAAACACAATCATCTTGAAAATATATCCATAAAAAGAAAAGGAAAAGACAAAGAAATAATTATAAATATTATCAACTCACAGGAAGGGAGGCAGACAAGCTCCGAAGCAGGTCGTCCTGTCGAAGCGCGACATCTTCGGATGACTGCAAGTCCTGTGGTTCCGGGGGAAAAAAAAAACCATTATCTGATGAAAACTGAATGATACTTTTCCTTTTCATGTAATGTGGGCAAAAAAAAGAAATTCCAAAAAACTACATGTAAGGCCAAAAAAAAACAAGTCAGGTGTGTTTACAAACACAAATGCCCCGCAACCGTGACTGTTCCCATGACATAACACCACTCTTTTAACATCAACTTACATGTACCTTGGTCACATGGAACATTCATTGACAGCATTAGTGTCTTCTGTAGGTTTTATATGAATTAATCCCTAATCCCTATAATCTCAGAATAAATACAAGATTTCTATTGTTTTAGCCACTGTGAACTTGACCCTTGACCTTTTTGCCCCAAATTCAATAGGCTTCTTAGGATTACCAAGAACAATCCACAAACCAAATTTGAAGTTCATATGTTAAGTATTTCTCAAGTTATCGCGCTGACAAGATTTCTATTGTTTTAGCCACTGTGAACTTGACACTTGACCTTTCGACCCCAAATGCAATAGGCTTCTTAGGATTGCCAAGAACAATCCACAAACCAAATTTGAAGTTCACATGTAAAGTATTTCTCAAGTTATCGCGCTGACAAGATTTCTATTGTTTTAGCCACTGTGAACTTGACCTTTGGCCTTTTGGCCCCAAATGCGAAAGGCTTCTTAGGATTGCCAAAAACAATCCACAAACCAAATTTGAAGTTCACATGTAAAATATTTCTCAAGTTATCGCGCTGACAAGATTTCTATTGTTTTAGCCACTGTGAACTTGACCTTTGGCCTTTTGGCCCCAAATGCGAAAGACTTCTTAGGATTACCAAGAACAATCCACAAACCAAATTTGAAGTTCATATGTTAAGTATTTCTCAAGTTATCGCGCTGACAAGATTTGTCCGGACACACACACCACCCACCCACCCACCCACCCACCCACCCACCCACCCACCCCCACACCCACCCACCCACCCACCCACCCACCCACCCACCCACCCACGGAAGGACAAGGCGGAAACAGTATGCCCCTTCGGCTTCGCCGCGGGGCATAAAAATATTCGGTCTCAGGTCAGACCAAAGTTCTGGAATTGACGCGGCCACACGGCTTTTTTTTTTTTGCTTTTTAAAAAAAAAATTACACATGTCAAAGCCTCGATCGATCACGTGAAATAAACTTAGCAGCACACTATCCAGCAAAACCAAAACAATATCTTTCATAACTTGCCTCCCACGAAAAAAAGAAGAAAAAATGCAAACAAGATTGGAGGAAATATGAAACAAATGTTTGTCGGCCTAGGAAGCTGAACGCTTAAAAGCAAATAATAAGAAAAAAAGAGAGAGAAAAAAATCTTTGGAACTGGAAGGATTTAATATCCTTTTTGACTTTGGTCCAAGAGTTCGGGGGGAAAAAACATGCCACGAAGCGGTTAGGGAAAAATAGTCTGACAACTTTATTGGGCAAAACTCTCTGGTGACTTGCGCGTGGCAAGCAGGAGGGCGGTGTTTAAAGCGACTCGCGCTGGGAGAACGAGTTGGGTGATTTGAGTGAATCCAAATGTGGAAAGCTAACGTTTGCGGTGCAACTTTTCCATCACCCACGGTGCATCATGGGAAAATTTGTTGCTGTTTGTGGGGTTTTTTGGAGGGGGGGGGGGGGCCCCCTAATCCTTACTCACAGCTAGGAAGCTGAATTGTCCGACCACGGAGCACAGCCAGAGAACAAAAAGTGTTGACTTTTGCGCAGAGAAAGGAAAACCAGAGAGCCCGGAGAAAAACCCTCGTGGCACAGGAGAGAATCAACGCACAACTCTACTCACATGTGGTCCGAGCCGGGAATCGAACCCGGGCCACATTGGTGAGAGGCGAGCGCTTTGAGCACTAGCCACATCTCGTGAGTAATTATTGCCAAATGCCATTGACTTTTTACAAGACTAGAAGTAATCAGTTTTTTGTGTGTCTTGTTTAGAAAGCAAATGATTCTGTGGACAACGACAAAGACTTCAGGAACTTAACCTACACTTTTGTAGCTACTGTTTCGCGACTTCAATTTCACTTTGCTGAAAGCAATAACAGCCCTAACAGTCTTGAATCCTCCAATTTCAATATAATTGTGTACACCCCCTGGGGAGTTAGGGTTAAAACGACGCTTTGGAGTATTCAACTTGAGACTTACCAAGATGGAATCCCGCATTTGGGACCTCAGGAAATTGTCGTAGTTGCCCTTCTGGCTGGGGACCGTGATCGGCATGGTGTGCGTCAGACTGAGGATCTTAACACCTGAATACAACAAGCAGAGAAACGGACCGGTATTTATACGATTGTCACGATCGTTAGAACACCGCTGGAAATTTTGAGACTGCGCAGCAAGGACAATTAGACAAACAGTCAGGGCAAGAAACAGTCACGGCAAGTGACACTACAGCAACACGTCTGGAAAATTAAAAGCTACATTTACATCGAAAGCACAACAATAGAAGGCTGCAGGTGACGTTAACGAGGGTGACGTTAACGAGGGTGTCGTTGGTCACGCAAACAGACGAAGCCTACCGGTACATTTCCAGTTGAAGGATTAATGAGGAACCCTTAGACATTAAAGGGAATATACATCATTTGCTTTTGCTGTAATTTTCAGAAATGGATGGAATTGGGGGGTTGGAAATATATAGCAAATAAAGTTACACTGACTTTTTTGAGGTTTTGGGTTCGAAAATGCTATAAAAACCAAGAGAAACAATCATTTTTCCTGTAGTCTGGTTCCCTGACTCCATATAAGAAGAAACAGAGCAGTTTACATACATTGGGGAATTGTAAGGTCAGGGAACCAGTCTAGCTGGCTCGTACCCGTTCATAGGTGTGTAATCGATTGCAAACAAGTGCGATGGTCAATTGGGGCTAGTATTTGAAAAAAAGCCAGTTTTTTCAAACGCTGGTCGGCTGACCAGCGTTGGAAATTGATACAAAAATACCACTTTTCTTGAAAATGACAGTTTACCAGGTGCCATGATTTTACAGGATGCTTTACACTGTCATTCACTAACAGTCCAGCAAGGTATTTCAAAATGATTTGGTAGTTTTACTTGTTGATTTTGCAAATGTTGTATTTTCCCTTTAATGGCCACCTCACATACTCACGTACATGTACGTCTAAAATCAATTTTTTTTTTTTTTATGTTCGTCTTTCTTTTGGTTGACATGACCAAGAACCACGCCGCTTACAGATCGGCGTCAGATTTTGCAAACGAATCGTACAAAAATAGCGTGGTCTTCTATTTTGAAAGGTGGGGGGAGGGTTCGGGGCGATATTAAATTGTAATACAATATCATGTACCTATTAATACTGTACGTTACAGGTTACATGTGTACGTACACGTGATATTTTATAGAGGGTTTCTTTTGGCAACTAATTCACATTATTTCTGTTTTGCGTGGGTGGGGTTGGGTGGGGTGGGAGTGGGAGAAGAGCTGGATCTATTTCGATGCTAGAGGTTGCTCCTTTTCCCTTTTTCTAATATCACTTTTTCCACGTATTTCGTAATTCTGTAGGAATTACAAAAAAAATTGATTAAAAAATAGTTGTTTATAATCCTCTTGTAGTTTAATTACTACAAAACAGAGACACTACTTGGGAAAGGGACAAATTTCAGGGTTTTTTTGTGGGAGGAACTGGAAGAGCATTGGTGGGGGGGAGAGAAGGAACGTGCCCCTCCCCCCCACCAGAGTTTTCAGTCGTTTAAAACCCATTGATTCACCTTTCCTTCCCCCCCCCCCAGAAAATGAGAACCCAAAAAACAAGAAAATTCAAATGACTTTCAAAATCTGCTGTTCATCATTTTTATATCTTCTGTCAGAAACGCGTCCTTCCACAAGTAAGAACCCTGCATGCACAGATATACCGTAATTCCCAAGGTATTACATTTCTCCCTTGTCATCGGATGTAAGAAATTCCCCGTTATGACAAAAATATTTTTCAGGGGATGACGGTCGTCGAGTTATCAGGATGACCATAAATAGGACTGATATATTCTAAATTCCAACAACAAAAAGACTAGGCAAGCATTAGTCAAACTGGTCCCAATGTGCATAAAATTCTACTTGATTGATTCAGAATATTCTCTTTAAGTCTTTTTATGCATCTGGTCCACACAATGGGCCGGATGTAACCCATTCATTGGCATTACGGGGTAATCCTATAAGACAGCACTGCCCGGGCCTCTGCACTGTCTACAACCAGTCCAAGTCACAAGTGACAGTCAGTCAGTCAATCAGAGAGGTAAAACAAGAGACACTTCATTTATTTATTTAATTTTTTTTTTTTAACTTGGTAGCCAATTCAGCGGAATCCGCTGGTCTCCCACTGGGCCAAGTAAAGAGAAGACAATGTGAAGAAATTACAGTTTTAAGATGTGGGAGGAAAACCCCAGAAAAGTATTCTGAGGAAAACCCACGGAATCAGGTAGGGACTGAAAACCCAGTCCACATGTTGGCCCAGGCAGGAATCGAACCCGGGTCACAGCGGTGGAAGGCGAGGAAAGTACCGAGCTACGCCAACCTGACTCCCCGTGTAGGCTTACCCCCGCAAAAAAATTAAAACAGGAGTACAACCTAAGGATCACTGGAGGATAGACTGAAAACTCAGTATTAAAGATATAGTCCATCATTTGTAATTTGTGCATTTTGTTCGTTTGAAGCAACAAAAGTGTTCAAAATCTAATGAAGGGTACTGAACAACTAACCTGATGAAGTTTCAGCTCAGCTTCAGCTGTACATTCCGAGGAAAACAGCATTCTAGGATCTTAATTTCAAATCAAAAGTTGCTGAATCATGTTTTGAATTGGGCCTGAATTCAGCGTCTGAGACACGTTCTCACTGAGCTGATTGCAGCTACGCGATACCGCGCACTGATCCGACGAATTATAGCAACCGTGCGCGCGTGTGCATCATGTCAACGCTTGCGCGCGCTTCGCCGAGTAAAAAAACGAACTACTAACAGAAATTTCCTACGGTGCGTCTTAAGATGCACCGTTGGAAAGGCCTTCTTTCGTTGATTTCTTCTAACTGACAGCTTGCCAGAAAGAATAATTTCACAGGGAGTTTAGTCCCCTTACTATCTTTTAATCAAGTATGTTTTTCAACAATAAGTACGCCAGTTACTTTTCGGATAGCTGCAAATGATGGACTATAGCTTTAAGGGAAACCGTTGGGGATGACGATGAACCATTGTGTAGTCCGTAATAACGTAAAGTGCTTAAATACATGTACCTGTGTGATATGCGGAGCTTGCTACAGGATCAAGGGATTTTAGGGGCGACCACAGCGTAATTAGAATGTTCCGACGTGCGTCTATGATGATATCTTACCCAGGACATACGTAGTTTGTGGCTTGAGATAATAACACATGTACCAGTACACGGGTTTGTCTTCTGACATCATCTGCGTGCCACTATCAACGCTTTTTAGTAGAGCTACTCGATGGTCATGTATACCGCCAAACCTCGAAAATATGTTTCATCCGGTTTTACAGTGTTATTATGTAAACCCAATATTGCGTATTGTACTTTTGGTAATCTTTACTAGAACACATGTGGTTCGCAGCTTCAGATAATTGACATGGGTTTGTCTGCGCGGCAGTAACAACACTTAGTCATACAGTTAGGCCAAAAATAAAAAAATATTCGGTCTCTGGTCAGACCAAAGTTCCGGAATTGACGTGGCCATGCGGCTTTTTTTTTTTTTTTTTGCTTTTTTTTTTTTCTTCGAGCTTGGATTGTACAGACGAGGTTGGGTACTGTTTTGCTTTTTTGGTGTCCTCATGTACATTGGTATCCTCCATAATTTGCCTTGGTGCTTTTGATCATTTGCCTTGGTGAAATTTCCCATTCCTTGGTGCTCTTTGGTAAAAAAAATTGAGGAGGTGCAGAAATAGAGGGCGCTGTTGGAGCTACCGCGGAACATTTTGGAAAAAAAAAAAAGATCGACGCGCGCTGACCAGAGACCGACTTATTTATTTTTTTTTTGGCCTTATCTTTAACTCAAACATCTGAACACCCCCCCCCCAACAAAAAAAATTTAATTAAATGTATTTTTACCTGTTATACAGAGTTTCTTTCTATAATAATAATAATTTGGGAAGCTACCGAGTAATGATCATCATTACTCGCAGCTGAGAAGCTGAATTAGGAAGAATGCGGCTACAACGTGGTCAAGCCGCAGGCATGTACATGTACAGGTAAAGGCGCCTTAGGCTGCCGCCATACGACTCATGTATGACTACGAAGCACAGCCAGATATCGAAAGTGTTGATTTTGGCGGAGGGAGGAAAACCGGAGGGCCCGGAGAAAAACCCTCGTGTCACAGGAGAGAATGAATGAACAACTCTACTAATATGGCATGTATGGTCCGCGGCCAGGATTCGAACCAGGGCCCCAGTGGTGAGAGGCGAGCGCTTTACGCACAAGCCACCCATACCACCAAAATAATACACAAGCACACAGCGTTTGTTTATGGTGTAAATTGAGGACACACACGTGCAACATCATCGGTGAATCGAGGACAGGAACCAAATCGAGGACGACCTCGATTAAACAACGACGTGTACAAAACCAATGAGAGCTGTTGCGAAAAAGTTGAAGTGCAAACAAAGGAAAAGGGAAGAGGAACAAAGGAAAATCCTCGATTTACACCATAAACAAACGCGTAAATGTATGTACATGTACCGGTATGCAAACAACGATAACATTGTACGCGTACACGTACCGTACTGCACATTGTGCATAGGGCTTGATGGGGAAAAAAAGGCCAAAATATGCAACAAAAATACCTCTTACTAGAAATCAAAACTACCTGTTTCTTCTTCTTCTTCTTCCTCGGACGGAAATCCGATTAAACTCTGAAAGCTGAACAGGCTCTGACGCCAATCCATGGTGTGTCCGAGCAGACAAAAGTTTCAAAAAGCCAGCCACACAAATAGACTTCCAAGTTCAATCCAATGCCCAAAACAGCGTCGAACAATTCCTGCAGATAGCTGTATGACGTTTCAAGATGGATAGCCAACTACCAAATTATCCACAGATAAGTGACGACTGGCAAGTACAGGTAGTATCCGCGTCAGAAATGTATTTCAGAGAATTGGCGACGTTAAAAAGTAGAGAATGACTTTTGACAAGACTGCTTCAAACTGTTAAAAATTCGTCACGCAGATGAAATACTGAAATGCCGTGTTGAAACATGTATTCCGCACAACAACATTTGAAGGATTTTCACAGAAGTGTTTCCGGCGA